GAAAGGGGGAGAGGGAGGAAGTAACTCTGAAGCAAACAGCTAATTTATTAACTCTTCACTACTAATTCAGGATTTAARTACCAAAAAGTACACTATCCACATGGGTTGATGACAGTGATTACCAGAAAGATACAATATTTATGTGAAATTGTTGGCTTATATTTTACCTCAGTGGTGTTTTTATAAAGGATTTTTTATTTTCTATTCCAGTTGTAATAAAAAAGGTATTGAAAGAACATTTCTTCCCTCCCACAGATTTGCATTTCAAATCTTGCAATATTGTGCTGCGGCATGATCAGAAATCATTCCAACTGAGCAGAACAATTGCTTTAATCATAGTTATTGTAGCTTACCTCAAAGTTAAATATAGTTATTAAAATTAAAGGAAGCAGCAACCCAAACCCCTCAGGTATTCTAAGGTGCACAAGGACAATAGCTTGATGCTTGATTACACACAGAGAGGTTGTTTGGACTGATGTCAGCACCTTCATGAACACTTCTGCCTTATGCTCAAGCTAGACAGCTGTGGCCATGGCTGGCTGGAAGAAAATGTTCTTTTTCTTCAGTATGAGAAATATTACATCTCTCACTGTYAAAACAACATGATCCTGTTGGTCCATACAATTCATTAGCAAGTCTAAATGACTAGATAGTGTCAGTGGTGTAAAGGCCTTCATCTCCTCGCCATTTGCTACCAATCTGACTTCTTTCCTACAGTGGCTGTCTGGTTATGAGGTAGAGCCATCCGTCATACCCAGACTGGGTTACTTGAATTTGTTCACAGAATTTGGGAAAAGAAAAGAATAATGRACTTTTACACTGCACAAAATTCAGGTTTGTGATTCACTGATGTCCCAACACCAAAACAAGCACCACCACTCTGTGGAATTATATCAGCTAAATCCCTTTTTTCTGATATTAAAGCAATCATCTGTTAACACACAACTCACAAACTGCATCTTAATCTGCAATTCCTCCATGTCAGTCTTGCTTCTCAAGTCATGTATTTTCTGACCACAAAAATGATGAATCACATGGAACTGGAGAGAAAGTGCTCACATTTGAGAGGAGGGAGTTTTACAGTCCAGCAAAACTCCAGATGAAGTTTGGATCTGGAACRGAATCTCTTTTTGTAGCAACACTGGTACAGATTTATAATAATGTTTTTTCATCAAAATCGGTGGAGAAACAGAATGTAGTATTTTCCTGTGATTTGAACTCCCCATAAACAAGAGCAATTCTATGAAAGATAAAGTGTTCATCTAAGTCATACCAAGTGAGGATCTAGAGCAATAGATGCAACAGATAGCAGTAAGCAGTCACAAAAAGCAGAACAGAAGGTGCTGAAAACATCATCAGTGGAAGAATGGCTGTGTAAGCCTCAAGGAAATTAAATCCACAATAGGTTCATCAGCTTCTAAACAGTTGCTTTTTAGTTGCAGCAGTGTAATGGAGAAGAAGCTGGCCAYTGTGCAAAAAAAGGTCCTTTATCTCAGATGACATCAAGAGTGCAGCTTTGAATCCAAAGAGAAGGTAATTGCCTAGAATGCCGGGTGGCCTGAGAATGACCACAGCTGTATTCCTTACAAGTTCCAACACCAACTGCTGTCTCCTCTTTTCTGCAGCAATTCAAGAAAGGATCAGAGAATATGGGGCAATAAGTGATGTATTCTGCYGGCAGCAACAAGGACATCATGCATAGCTCTTAAGGGCCCCAGCTACCAGTGAACATTACTTTATTTGTAGGACAAAGATACTCGATTTTGTTCACACCTATAACAAGTCTTGATCCAACTCTTCAAGGCAGCTGGACATGCTTCTAAATCAGTCTGAAAATGGACTGTAAAGAGTATTATTGAAAGARTATTATTGCATGCCAGCACTGAAATCATTGACAGAAATAGTGTATCTGATTGGGGCAGAATTCTTTTTGGGGTGGGGGCAATGTGTCCCTGAGGTGCAGGCATGGTGACATGACATGACTTTGTTTTCCTAACATAAAGGACYGAACAAATCTATGTTAAGCATTAGCCAAATAAAGGCAGCTGATACCTATCTATTTACATATTAAGAAAGCAGCTTGGAGTTAGATTTTTTTTTTGTCCTGGCTGTTAGTTTATTGCAGCTGAAGAAATGATATCTTCACTTKTCTTCCTCATTTAATCAAAGTGTGTAAGCAGGAGACAAAGAGGTACATGGAAAAGCAGAGCAAACATTGAGCTCTATTGACAGATACAGCCTTGATCTGACTGGAGCTGAGGGAAGAAGATGAGGGAAAGTCATGGAAGCAGACATGGATATCAAAGCTGCAGAAGCCAAACAGTCATGACTTCAACAGAGGCTGCAATAAGAATCCCACTGTGGGATTGTTTCAGGGAAGGGGAAGAAAGGGAGGCAGGATGGGAAGGTTGAAGTCCTCCTCCACTTGCCTCTTCCTTCCCCCACTAATTCTATCCTAGAGTCTTCTTCTGACATGCCTRTTAGTGAATCTTCAACCAGTTCTGATCCTTCCCCACTGCCAAGGAAGAACTAGTTACCTCAAGCTGCAAGTCCAATCCTATATTGTGTTTACACACCAAGTAGRTTTAGCCCTTCAACTTTTAAGTTGAAGGAGCGTTTAAGCATCACAGCCTGGAAAGGATTCTTCATATTGTAACAAGGGGATAGAGGGTCAAATTTTGTTATTTGGATTAATAAACTTTCAAATACAATGATAGAACTTAAACCATGAAATTATTTTGAAGCAYTGGAGCATTGTTAATGAACATTTACATTCCCTCAACAATGACAAAGATCCAGCAACATCTCCTAACACAATCTTCAGATATCACAGTACAGAACACAACACAAAGCTGTACTTTTACTTGCTTAATAATATTATGTTTATCATGATCCCAAAATATATTTCATCAAGTTTATTGGTAAGATAAAGGCATGTGATCTGCACATCATATATTTTCCTTTGTACTTCCAAGGAAGTGAGAGCGGTACATTTATTACCTTTATCATTATCTTCTCCTCTTCCACTTTCAGCAGTTACTTTAACACAGGCTGCAAGCATATTAAAGAAACAGTTACCTTGACTATGAAACRGCTATGGTTTTCACACATCTCACCACCTGCAATGAGGAATTTCTCAGGTAAAAGCTGCCAAGAAAGCTGCATCTCCTGCTCTCTAGGGTTTTAGTCTCAGGGACACCAGTACATGGCACAGCACACTGTTCAATTCTCTCTCTGTGACCTCCAACAGGAACAGAATTAATCAACAAGGTGTATTTTTAAACAATTCCAGCCCTTCATGTGTCTATTCGCACAGAATTAGAGGCATCAAAGATCAGCTTTAACGCTAATATTTTTTCACATTTTATCAATATTTTTAYACCAATATTTACACTAATATTTTGTCATACCCAAGTAAGAATAATTTCATGTTCCTTGTCACAGAAATCTCACATAAAGTGTGAGGCAATGGATGCTTGAAATTATTAAAGTTAAATCTTTCTGCTCCTGTTGTAAATCTGCTGTCCCTGCTAGACACATTTACAGTATCTGAAGAACATGAATGGAGCCTCGCAATTCTGAGAACTTGAAACCTTGTCTTGCAGAGCAGTGTATTTTAGGAGAAGTTTCTGATGCCATATTCTCCAGAAACAGCAAAACACAGACTCTACAGAGAAATTTTTGGGGTATGACAGACAGTGGAAGCAAGAAAATGCACAGTGAATAGCTTTAATCAGTTGACCCATATCTCCCCCAGGTGTTTAAAAAAAAACAAAAAAAAAAGGAATTTTTTCTCTTAATAAATGTGGGTAACTCCCCACGTTTTTCTATTTCTGAATGTGTTAAATTTGTCAGGCAAAAAAGTAGAAATGAAAGTCTGACCTCCGAATGTTTCACAGAGGAATCYCTTCAGCTCTGACAGATGTGAAAAATATGACATTGTTACCTAAGGAAGCAGAACTGATCCCCTAGACAAGTCTAAATCTATTAATCACAAGAAAAGTTTTGTTATGTGCCTTAAACTAACTTCAGATTATATAAACTAATCATGCATGTAGCAGCATGATTTTTTTTTCCAGTAATTTCTTTTATATTCTTACAGCGAGCTTTTGAATGACTAAGAAATCACCCTTTATTTGAACATATTAACAGAACTTCCATTAACAAATGAATATGACYGAACATTGATCAATAATTTGTAAGATTCTGTCCCGTCTCTTGCAATGGTGTCTCTGAACTAGATTTTTTTTATTATTTAAAATACACYGAGAAAATTATAGAAACAACTCTTGATATATGCAAGGTGTAACAATGAGATTGTTTGCAGTAAGAGAAATTTGAAAATTAAATACTTACATAACTGTATGAAATTCTGGGGGACAGTTCTAGAAAGCAGTGGCACATGCTTTGCCACTAGAGACAGAGACAATCTACTGAAGATATTAAAAGGTCATTCATATATCTTTATATTTTTTTGCAATCTATTCAGGCTTATTCCTTCTCCTTTGCAACAAAACCTTCTGTTGCTTATTCCTCCTACAAACTACAGCCAAATCCAGGGAAAAATCCAAAGATTCTTTATAAAAGAACATTTGTCAGCGCTGCTCCTTCAAGCCTTCTAGTACAAAGTGTTCAGAGAAGACTGTGAGCACTAGGAATGCAGATGGTTTAGTAGCTCTTTTGCATACAGTAAGAGATCTGCAGCATTTCCACTTTTGGGAAGACTTACTGACCCCTAAGAAATCCTGCCTTAAATCATAGAAGGCAACTTCTAGTTCTTTACATTCATCTGCCTTGCAAATGCCAAGTGGACAGGATTTAGAGGGCTTAGAGATTTCACTCCATGCTGTACACGGGACACAGAAATTGAGCACAAATGCAAAACACCCTAGAAGCGGGGAGAGGCAGGAGGAGGGGATAAGTTCACAGGCAACTCTCACACTTCACTAAGCACAACTGACTCCACCCCTCTTAGCCACATATCCACTGTATCTCCACATGCAGCCAAGGACCTTGGTGTGCAAAAYAGCTGAAAGCTTCCTTCAGGATGAGAGCAAGGCAGCTGGTCTGTGGAATTTGGAGTCTGTGTTTCATGTTGTGGCTTTTCTGCATCTTTCTTCACCAAACCACAGCTAAAAGAAAACTGAAGTTTGTGTCTGTAGTAAGTAGATAGTTCAGGGGAAAATGGAATTTCTTCAAAACCTGTCATTTACTGCTCTTTCTGTAGGGTTCCTACTCTAGGGTAGGTAGGAGGGAGCACCTTTTCAAATATTTAAATGTTTTCTGCATATTCATTATTGCATAGTACAAAAAAAAATAAAACCCTAAATTTTAAATAAGATTTCATAATTTTGCCTACTTTGTACATGCCTAGATGAACTTTACTTTCTGGATGGACAGAGAATGCTTATTTTATAGCACTAAGAGAAAAATAACACAGTATTGTGTTTTAAAATGTAAAAGAGGATTTCATAACTGAATACCACCTGTACAAAAGCCTTCTTTACCATAGAAGAGCTTCCACTTTTCCAGTGGTTTCAATGGATTAATATGCAAAACAAACTTCAGTATCTGCAACTCAAACAAGTGTTCAGTGACACTGAACAAGCAACACAGAAACCAATACTGTGAAACTTAGGTTATTTGCAATGATTGTGACGTACCATTTGTTTGCAGGGAGCCTGAATGTTGTTCTGAACATCGCACACTCTTGTAAATCACTTAGATAATTTTTGTGCTGCAGTTTTTTATTTCATTTTTCCCTGCTTGGATTAAGAAATTTTTTAAAAATCTGATGTTAAAATTTCAGAACCATATGGCACATACCTATAGGAATTATAGGAATTATTATAGGAATTATTTGGACAAGCAAAGAATTCACTGTATCTTTATAAAGATAGGTTCTATCTGAAGCAAAATTCCAGAATAGGTTCAATGTTTTCTGAGTAAGAGCTTAGTCTGTATTTGGATATTAGATAACACTTTTATCACCTCTTGCGAAGAAAAAGTCAACATGTGGCTTTTAAAGGCTAATTTCTGCCAAGTAAGAAAACTTCACAGCTATGAAACCGTTATCTYGAGGAACAGTTTGGGGCCTTTTCTTTCTGAATTCCAACTTAGTCATACCAAAATATTGATGTTCAAAAATTACTTACATGCTCCTGTTTGTTTTCTGTTTGTTTATTTAATATTATGGTCTGTACTTCCTAAAATGCATAAAGCCTCTTTAAAATATAATAAGGTATCCTGCAGTTTTTATAACTTGCAAAAATTTATTCAAGCTGATTTATTCCCAAATGCCAAGAAAAAGATAATTATTTGTCTAAATAAATCAAACGGGAAACATAGTTATCTATACTTAGGGTATGCATCATTAATATATTTAGCATTTGTCATATACAACACTCACTGTCATTGTATATTCCTTGTGACTAAATTAATTAATTATAATTAGAAAAAAAAAAATTACCAGTAACACAAAAGCAATTTTGTCTATTTTATCAGGTATTTCGCCATGGTGATCATACCCCACAGGAGTATTTTCCAATTGATAAGCACAAAGAAATTGCAAGACAACTGGGTTATGGCCAACTTACCAAGGTGAGTTTGCTTATCTGGACCAAGACACTGAAATATTGGGAGATGGTGTGTTGATATTTGGGGGTTGGAACTTAGCTTTCACTTGGAGAAAGCTCTTATTAAGTTACCAATTAAGGACAGCCAAAGAACTACTAGAAAAGTATAGCAAAAGCACTCAATGATTTTAAATGAAAGCGAGTCAGCCTGTTCTGGTCCAATATCAGCATATGTCAGGCTGTTTGATCACAGTCCAGGGTCATCTGGGAAGAGCCAGGGCTGATGGTGACCATCTCAGCTCACCTGAGACCCTACATGAAGTTTTAACCATCAGTAGCATAAKGTGGTGCTTACAGACATAACCCTCCCTCAATCTCTGCTGAATAGGAGCCCTTCCTAGCTCACGGACTGTTAAGGTCAGTCCTAGCAGTTACTTCTCTCAAGTATGCCCAGGAAAGTTGATTTAAAACTCAGTTAATTTTAGTGCAGGCATTTGTTGTCTTACTACCAGCTGTTGGTAGTAAGCAGCAGCAGCAGAGGCAACCATAGATACTGTGTCTCACGGATGCAGTGTCTGCCTTGACTAACTTCTGTTACCTACTACCTCTTAAAAATGGAGCCAAGGGTGAAYTCTACTGCCAGACTGTAAGGCAATGTTTGGGCAATGGGTGGTTTTAACCCTACTTCTGCTCCCCTCCCACCAGCAGGACCCACTRTGTCTGTGTGCTTGTGCTTCATTCCTTTTTCCCCAAGGTACGTTGTTTGGACAGAAAAAGCTGCTAGCTGTTTGCCCAGCACTCAGAACCGGGCAGTCATCCTGAAGTAGTTTAGAGTACCAGAAATCTGGCTGTCCCAGATAAAAGACTACTGTGCACATGGAGGCAGACTGTGAGGTGTGTCTCTCTGTTGGGCACAGACAGCTTATGCTCAGTGAGTTTCTCTCCTGAGGAAACTTGCCAAGTTTCCACCAAAATCAGAATAGAACCAACTGCCTGAGGGGTTCCTCTTGCTCACCATCCTCAGGAGGCCAAACTGATCTCCAAAGCAAAATCAGGCCTGCTTCTGCTCATGTCAACTCCTTTGAAGAACCAGGAGTAACAGACCAGTTTCCTATGCCTTAACTCAGTGACTCAATCATTCCATGTAAACACTATGCAAGTTCAGCAAACCTGCCCGCTTGCTCCAGGGCATGGAAGACTTCAAGATCCAGGTGTCAGGACTTAACARCRTGYGTAWTAGGCAAGTTGGGGCAGAAGCCTAAATCACACATATGACCTAGGAAAATGGATGCTCAACTCCAGCAAGAGAAAGAAGTGATCAAATGAACACAGGGTGGGTCCTGACTAACTTGGTCTGACCTCATAGCTGACTTTGCTTTGAGCAGGAGGCTGGACTAGAGACTTCCTGAGGCTCCTTTCAGCCTGAATCATCCTCTGATCCTATGACGTAGAAAATTGCTTTAGGAAGCAATGAGTAATCACTGTGCTTGAGATCCAAGCATACAGTAATGATTACATGAGCAAAATGGAATATATTTAAACTTRGGCCAGAAAACACCAGGTACAAGTAAAAAGATGCCAATACAGAGACTATTACAGGGACATTGTGTGTGATTGTGATTGAGTCACCATCCCTGGAGGAGTTTAAGGAAAGACTGGAAGTGGTACTCCGTGTCATGGTCTAGTTGACATTAGGACATATGGTGGCATTAGGACATATGATCTCAATGGTCTTATTCAACCTAACTGATTCTGTGATTCTGTAATTTATATGCCATGTGTTTACAAATTATGTAGATAAGTTGAAAGATGTTCAGCTAAGAGCTACTGAAATATTGAGACTGGAAACCCCATTTTGCTGTGAGAGTATAGAACTGTCATCACTTTAATTTAGCACAGAGAATAAATGACTTGATTGAATTTTATGGATTATTGTTTGACTCTGGATAAAATCTGTGATGGTGAATGATATTCAAAAGTGTAACCAGATCCAGTGACTGAAAGTTGGGACCATAGTCAGGCAAGAATCAAAAATCGATTGTTTCAGACTGTTGATAATAATTAACTATTGCAGCAAAATGCTGCACCTGAAGACTTGGAGAACTTTTACTTCAAGTCTTCTATTCTGAAAACCTAGATCTTGCCCAAGATAAAACTGTAGCCTCCATATGGAACCATTGGTGATACGCTGTAGGATTCATATCCTGGATGTGCCTTCATGGACAGGTGGCTGCTCTGTCTGCACTCCCAGTTAATCAGCTCTGAAACAGCAATAGAGTAGAAACCAGATAGATGGTCTATGCCTGCTTTAGGTCTCACTAGCTCAGACAAACATACACATAGCTTTCCACAGAACAAAATACAAAACTGCATCCACCAGGAGCCATGCCTAACATTATCCAATACCATACATGCAGCAACTTTACTACTTTTTTTCTCATGTCTTCTTTTCTCCTTCATTTTGCAAAGGAAAAAAGGTCTTTTTAAAAATAGTATCAAATATTACTCCTTTCTTTTTCAGTTGTAGGAATGGATGAATAGCGCATTTCTTTAGTCTCTTGTGTTTACACTCTTGTGTTACTTTTACAGCTTGGCATACAGCAGCAGTATGAGCTTGGCCAGTACATGCAGAGGAGATACTCTCAGTTCCTGAGCGTTGTATACAAGCAGTGTGAGGCAAGTACTGGATCTGGGTGGGACAGTGTTTTTCATGGATGTTAATGGGACTTCCTGAATGAGCCAGTTTAAACCTGGTGCTGTTGGAGGAAACTTAATATGATTGAATTCMATGTAATTTCTAAGTATCCCTAAAATTGTGATTCAACTTTTATTCAGACTGATGGTTAACTGAAAACCATGTGAAAGGCTTTCCAGGCTGYATATCAGGTTCAGTTCCCTCATTGCTGTATGGGATAATATCCATGTCGAATACCTCCAATGCTACGCTTCCAGGTGGAGAGCAAACACAACTTAGTTTTCATTTAGGTTCCAGCTTTTCAGTGCATATATGATGTCCCAAAGCCTAGATGGTCAAATGAAGTCATTCTTAATGTTTCCATTAGGATTCCTAAGGGAAATGCTACCATGTGGCAGCTCAGTTATCCAACAAAATTTTATTCCATCTTCACTCTTTATTCTCCTCCTTTCTCATAGTCCTTCTCCATGCCACTCTATTTTTATGACAAGTTCCCCAGCACAGTACCTGCCCCCTTTTTTCCCACCAAGAAGAAAATAAAACAAGCATAACAAAAGAAAATACCTTCCAGATTTTTTTCTTTCTTTTTTTCTTGCTTCAGATTTATGTTCAAAGCACTGACTGTGATCACACACTTATGAGTGCTCAGGCCAGTCTTGCTGGACWGTACCCACCAACACAGGGCCAGATTTGGAACTCCAGAATCCTTTGGCAGCCAATTCCAGCTCACACAGAGCCACTGTCACATGATAATGTGAGTATAAACTAGGTGCATCTGCTTTCCCTTAATCATTAGTAAAGTACATAGGATATGAGAAGAAGGTGCTGCAAAAAGTGCATGGTAAAGGCAATGAAAAGTACATTTTGTTACAAGCATTGTGCAGAAAGGCCTGATAAGTTGAATAGAAGTATTGACAATATTTTCACAGGAATGGATTTGCATGTCAGAGACATGGTCTTAAAAAAGAGGAAGAAAAATGGAAGTAGCAGATATAGAGAAAAGAAATTAATCTACAATGCAAGTAAATCAATGTAGGAGTAGATTAATCCTACATTTAATGCAAACATGACTTCTTTCGTGTGAGAAAAAGAAACTTATTTAATCTCACTAGTGCTTCAATATTGCTTAGTCCACAGCCAACAGAAGAGACAAAAGAATCATTCTGAGACTCACATTATGGTGAGAATTGAGTCGCAGGATTATTTTTCATGTACTTTGCAGGTCAGAGCATGCACTCCAAGGAACAGTGAAAAAAGTAAAAGGGTAAAGGAAGGAGGACTCAGAGCTTTAAGCATGAGTTCRTAGGACAATGAATTTATTCATCTCCCTTCCTCAGCTCCTCACTTTGGAGTTGTAAGGAATGCTGTGGACAGCAGCAGCAGCTTTGTAGCCCACATATACTTGCCTTAGAGGGGAAAGCAGTACAGCTGACTGGAGCAGTTTGAATCCTACTTTATGRGAGGTTTGCACATGTGATGCAAGATAAATTATGTGGGCTTTACAAGTCTAGTTAACACAGTCTGTGATGATAAGGGAATCAGGTTAAATGGACCATGAAGCAATGGTTCTCACCTYGGGGTGATGAGAGCATGAAGATGGAAGGTATGGAGACATCTTCCTCTTCACACCCACAGCCAGCACAGAGTCAGGAGCTGCTTCTGACACTGTCACAGGTGGGGATACCCCAGCAGACGGTCAAGGACACCTGGCCAGTATCAGGACAGATRCCAAACTCAGAAAGCAGGTGCTGGYCCTCATTCATATCTAGAGGAAGAAGTAAATTTATTCAAACAAATCATAAAATCATAAAYACATGCACATTTTTTCATACTTTTTCCAACTATTTGTGTTTTAACTTTATTCATCTTTATTACACATACAATCTAGACTTGAGACTGCATGTATCCTTCCACTCAAAAAAAGTGCCCATCATTTATTGGTGAAGTCATACCTGCTCATGAACCTGTGGCTATAATTCAGAAATACTTTCCTATCTTGTGGAATAGAAAGTTCCTTTAAAAGTTCTTTTAACATTGGGACTATATAGATGGAGCTACATTTCTGCAAAAAGGACAAAAACACATTGGAGGAAAGCACTAATAATATCTCAGTGTCAAATTTTATTTTTTGTTCAAAATTTATCACAGAAAACCAGAATAAACTCAATTTAGCTTACATCAGCAAAACAACAAGTTCTTGAGTTATTCCAGCCACATGTAACTTTTAAGCTTCATATGTCTTATGTTAATGACAGACAACACCGAGTTATAGAAAGTTCACAAGTTTGTACAATTTAGCTGAACTAAATGAAGCTATGTTAAATACGCTCAATGCAGCTGAGAATGCACAAAGGCTCCTATTACAGTCCAGCTGCTGCTTGGTAATTTGTTGTAAAAATTTGATGGCGTGTTTAAAGAAAGACTGAACACAATGAGTGAAATCATTCCTGGAGAAGCTAAGAACAAAGGAGATCATGACAGGTTATGTTAGTCTTCTGTCAAAGGGCAAACTCAATCTTGTGTAAATGAATCCTTTAACTTTGAACTACTACAGCTATTACACCTCTGAACATTTAAAGATTATTTTGTATGTAGTCATCAGTATGACTCCTAGAGTCCTGAAGATGAATATCCTTGAAACTACATTCTCAAATTATTTTTCAGCTTGTCCTAACTAGTGCAGCCAATCAGAACAACAATCCTTCAAGGGTATATTGAATTGCAGAACAAGATGCACCTTGCCTAACTAGTATTTTGCAATTTTCTTTCCAGTTGCTATACCTACCTTTCTCACACTGCCCAAAATACAATCAGCTTCTGAGAGAAACCTTCGCAACAAGGGATTTCCGTAGGCAATTCAAGCACTACAACGTAAAGCATTTTCAGTGCTGGAAATCCAGTTAAAATGTAGCACTTCAACATTATCTAATAGGTAGGTTTAAAAACTGGCAGTTAATATGCTCCTTTCAGATCTCTAATCTTCACAGTGGGTGTAGACAATGTATCCAAAAAAACACATTACARATCCAGCTGGACTGGGCTATTCCCAACAATTGAAAATAACAAAAGATAAATTATTGACTTATTTGCAAAAACTTAGCTTCTAGGAGACCAGACAAAACAAAAACCCAGATAAAATCAGTGTAAATGCCTCTCAAATTGCTCCAATATCTCTCTCTGTTTACTCCYACATAAAGCAACTCCTCTGACATCTCTTCCTATATAACTGTCTGCAAGTTCAGATTCCTCTTCCACCACAAAATAGTCTCAGTTCAATTTCCCAGAACTTCTGTAAGTCTTAGTGCTTTCCTCAAGTACCTATTCATGTTTCACACCCAAAATCTTCATTCAGGTGCACACTTACATTTTTAGTTTGTCTCTATATGGTATTCTTTCTGTTCTTCCTCCACCATCAAAACTCTTTGCATGAGTATGTAATCATGCTGCAACCCTCTTCTTCTCAGGTATATTTAAAATAACACCATGGAACTCACCTGTTTGTCTATTATCTTTCACCACTGACCTCAGCCATCCATCTGCGGCTCTGCGTCTGGGTATTATAAGCAAGTAAATCACAATTTCCAGTTTTATCAAATTTACATMGTATCTTTCTTCTCCTGAGTACCAATATCAGAATAATTCTGTTTATCAAACTTCCTTTAAGCACTTCTTGGATTCCTGCCAGACTTCTTCATATATCTGTGTTCCCTCAACTTCCTTTTAAACATTTCTACAAAGCATAAACAAGCATCATACTTCAAACCTGGACTAACATCACTAAGTTGTCTAGATTAATAGGCCAAATTCTTTTACATCTAGGCAAAGTTTCATTGCTTTAGTGTGAAGCACAAAGATTCTCTTCTTTCTAAAAATTCCTATGTACTAGTACACTATGTGTAGAAAACATGTAAAAAGGTCCCAAGTACCACAAATTTGTGGGTTTTTTTTTTTGTGTTCCAGCCATTTCTGGAGTTTTTAGCCACTCATACAGGATACCCATTGAAGAAGCTTAACACGGAAAGAATTTGGAAGCTCTCCRACACTTTACAATATGAGGTAAATAGAATCATAGAATCATTTAGGTTGGAAAAGACCCTTAAGATCTTTGAGTCCAGTACAAATTCCTCTACATCCTTCAATCTGGTATTTTTATTTGGTTCATTTTTTTATTGTAAGACATAAACAGATGGTAGATATGTGCTTCAACATTTTTTTAACCATAGACAATTTTCAGCTTTTTCMCCAGAAACTCTCCCCTAACACCAAATATATAACTGAAAATCCTGCAAACACACTATGTGTGAAGCTGCATGATATGTGCTGTGGGTCATCCACCACTACAACAAACACAAACTAATGGCCTCTCAAATTGAAAATTCTGTCAGTGACTGCATATGCAGAATTAGGCAAAAGCATACCTTTGGATAAAATTGTCTTGTAACTCCTCCAGACCCCACTAGGAGATACATAAGGATAAAATATGTTGCTGGCAAATAAACATAGCCATCCTTCCACAAAGATTTAATGCAAATTTTATAAACAAGAGAAATCATGATTTGTATGTGGACAGTAYAGGACAGGATATTTTCAGGAATTAAGCAGTTATTTCTGCAAGTTTGGGAGCTTGWTCTAAGCAAAGGTACCACACACAAAAAAGCATGGATTTTATAACAAAATGTGTATTGTGGTGCCAAACTGGCATGGGTATTTGGGTCCCACAGTCTGACAACTTGTGATTTGAAAAAATCTTGACTGCCCTTAATTTACCAAGAAGCTCCACTTCAAAGTCTAGACTCATCTCAGCTGACACAACTGAAAATTGCAGAGTCTTGTGTTAAAAAGTTATTGTTGAAGGCAGCTTYCGCTACGCCTTCATATATAACTATTTAAACTTTAATATTAACGGTAAATTCGTCATCAGTGGGGCAGTTTTAAGGTAGATTTCAGAAGCAACATGTAATATTTGRGTGTGATGCTAATAAGTTTGCCTTCATTCTTGCAGTTTTTGCACAAGTCAAACTTTGGTCAAAGCATACTTGAATAGAATGTTAGCCATGGTCTTAAGTTAAATGAAACGTTCACATGTTGTGACACCTCACTGTAATTTCAGTGAGGTCACCCTACCATGCTTTCCAAATGCAGGTTCACAACTTTCTATTTCAATAGTTAAATCACACTGAATAACCTGTGTCACCAGGCAAATATGCAAAATCCACAGCTTCCATCGAGAGGCTAGCTAAATTAAAAAAAAAAAAAAAAAAAAATTAAAAAAAAAAAATTCCTTCTAGCATTAGATTTTATGAGCCATGGTCTTTCACACTACTGACTGAGCACTCTGGGGGTATCAATTAAGACATCTATCTGCCACAAAAACCTCTCATTTTTCAAGCTGAAAAAGAGAGAAAGCATAGTTACATAATTACTTAGTTACTAAATTTTTAACATGATTCATGAAACTACAGTAGTTTGCATCTCTCTGTATTTTTTTTCTGTCAGCTAAGTGTAATCTGACTTTCAGGCAACTTAGAGATTGAGGTATTTGCTTGCCTATAGCACTGTCAAACAGCGCACAACCAGCCAATTCTTTCCTCAAGACATAAATCACTTTTGTTAAAAGAGACATGGATAATATTGTGCTTTGAGCTGGTTTAACCTAGCTTGTGCTATTGTTTTCTTGTTTAAACAAACCCTTAAAGTAGTTGACATTTTCCTTTGAGCTCACTTGTTACAAGAACACTCTTTTTTGTCAGCTCAGTCCAAAGGTTACATTGCTCTAAAAGAAAGTTACCATCCTTGTTTAAACAGGAATTCAGGTTAGTGCAAACCAGGAGTGCTGTGCATATCCCCCCTTCTCACAATTCTACAGCTATACCTATTTGATTTTTGTATTCCACTTACATCTGAGAGCTACCAGCCCTTAAAATCCTGATGTTTATAYATGATTTGTTTCAGTAAAGATATGTCCCAGTACATGACTGAAAAAGTCACAGTGACTTTTTTCACCTGACAACATAAAGAATGCCAGTTGCTTTTTGCATGATTTTTAGTATTATATTTCCTCTTCTTGTTAAACACTGCTCTTCAAATTTCTTTTAAGCACTATGATGCTGTAAATAGGAATGCAAAAGCTGTCTAAATGTAAAATGCAGTCATTGTTTTTTACAAAGAGAAAATGTTACTGGAGTGAAACATTCAGAATTTGTTCTGACAAGCGTTTCATGATAGAATAAATAACAGTTAGCAGTAGGAATCAGCAAGAAAATCACCATTGTTTTTCTTCACTGTAGGATATTAACAATTACAGTTTACCTGTTGTTTGGGCTACTCACAGAGTCAGGACCAAGYTGATAAAGCTTTCAGAATTGTTATTGCAGGCGGAATTTGGGCTCCACAAACAAATACAAAAGTCACGTTTGAAGGGAGGTAAGCTGAATTCTTACCCCATTTAAAACAAAAAGTAGGATGGGAAGGAAGAAAGGATGTATGACAAACATTRCTACTGATTCCATAGTAGACCTGAGCAATATGCCAATATGGGGAYATTGATGGTCAGCACAGAAAGATTTTGATGGGAAGGGAGATGATGAGCATATGAATACTGAATATTCTAATCTAACTTTATAATGCAGGTATCATTTCAATTACACTGTGTAAGAATTTCAAAGTAATAAACAGGTACTTGTTGAACTGAATMGTCTAAACTTCTCATAAGCCTCCAGGTGTAACTTAAAAAATATTATTTGTATTAATGTTTCAAATGGTGATTTTATTGCCTAAAAGCCTTCATATTCCATTACTGAAAGTCCTATTATGAGATTACTGAATTGCTTCCAAACCTTCTGCTCAGAAAATAGTAGCTGAAATTTGGAAATATTTTATACCTTTCCAATCACTCATTCTCCTCCATTCATCTACTGTCATCTTTTGAGCTTACCTTTTGTTTCACATGGACACTGTGCAGTCAGGATCTGTGAGCTACAAAGACAAATAAACATCTGAGCATGAATCAATTTGCTGCCTTTTGGATGCTCCAATTTACAGAACTTAGCACAAARTACAAGCCTCTGCCCTTGCTTTACTAACAATTGCTATAAAATGTGCCAGTAGCTAAAGACTAATTCTGTCTAATTCTGCTAGGTGGTATAGTTCACTTTTTAGGATTATAATTTGTTGAGGTGCCAACCTTATATTAACATACTAACATAGCCATTGATTTAATTCAAGTAGTTTGTCTTMTGACTTTTCAGCAGTTAACATTAACAAAATACAGACAACCACACAATTTATGAAGCCCCAGAGCCCAGAGGATACRCTCTTCCTTTTTTCTCTGGAAAGCAGGAAATCAGTTAAGTCACACACTCAACAGGATAGTGTTCATTACTGTGCTCTTCTTGTGCTGTTCAGCTAACGCAGAGTAGCTGTGAATGTGCTGCTTGAAGCTGTTGAAGCTATTAGGGATCCCCAAAACATTTGACACAGAAGKAAAATTAGCCTACTGTTCATTTGAAAGATAGCATCACCATTAATCAAAGCACTCTGCACAAATTACCAATCATGTCAATTGAATAAATTGGTGCATTTAGAGACAGATGGTTAAAATGGCAACAATCAATACAGATATTAACACAAGCATCTCTTTCACTGTCACTGCTACCCSCTTTTCTTTCAGGTATTCTTTTAAAAACTATTCTAAAGCATATCTCAGATGCTAGAAAGCCTTCACACCATAAAAAAATGGTTATGTWTTCTGCGGTGAGTGCTTTCTGTTTCTCTTGTGTTTGGTTTCTGCAGTTATTAAATGCAGTGAAAGCCAGGAAATTTTATTTCCTTCATGAAATACAGCTACAAGCATTTTTATATTTGGTTAACCTTAAATATCTTTGGGTTTCTTGAATTTTTTTAATGAACAGATACTACTTTGAAACCTGAAGCATTCCATTTTCCACTGCATGTCATGGTTTTTTCATTGTAATAATGTTTTGATTGAGGAGAGAACTGGAGAAACCATGCCTCATGTTTTATTAAACCTGGATCCCARAGTTAATTTAAAACAAAATCCCCTTCCTGTAACTTTTTCAAGTGCAAATGGGGAAAAAAAAAAAGAGAAAAAAATTAAGTTACCATTATTTTAGAAGGCCTTATGAAGGCAGTTACTCAACTGTGATCTTATTTTTTTTTTTGTTTAGAATGTGCAAATGGTGCCATTGGAGAAGTWAATTTTTGGATTGTTCTTAGTAATAAACTAGTGATTCTAAACTGCAGTTATATAATGACCTATTGGGTATATATCAGCTAAAATTTGATCTGATCTCAAATACTGTTTACTTAWCAGGCAAAACTACTAGTGTTTTTTWWAARAAGTTTGAACAGCTCCTATTAATTTAGGTARGAGCTGTAAGTGACTAAGACTTCTTAAATATTTACATATATGTTATACTTCATATCAGCACTTTAGTTTATATAAAAGGACCATATTCGCTCAACAGTGCAGAGGGTAAATGTTTTTGAGGCCACACAAGTAATGTTAATGTTGAGTGAACAGATAATGTGCTGGAAATATTGTTAAATAACAGGTTCATGCCATCATTTTTAACAGACCTTTAATTAAGGGTTTATTCTGTTCACAGCATGCAGCCACCRTTGCTGCCTTGCAGGTGGCACTCAATGTCTTCAATGGGAAATTTCCCCCTTACAGTGCCTGCCATTTTTTTGAACTTTACCAGGAAAAAAATGGGCAAGTATCTGCAAGCTATACTGCTAATTTGTACTATTTCTAAAAGAAGGAATGTTTGGATACCCCAGGCTAATTAAACTGGATACACAAAGTTCATTATTCAGGAAAACATTATAGATGGATTTTAATAATTGTAATAGGATTCAGTTTAGTAGTCAGTAGCAGAATAAGCCTGAAAATCATATATATATGTATATATATATTTATATAATGTATATATAACAGTTATGAGAGGTTTCACCACATCCTTTTTATCTCTTTAACTCCTTGACAAAGATGGCAAACTACACGCAAATTGGTGTTTTGTAAACACCACCTATTTTCTAAAAAGAACTCTTCAGAGTACAAATTATATTAGTAAATCATAAACATATTAACAACCAGACAAATAAGTTAGCTAAGAATTTGGCCCCAAGTACAATCAGTGCAACATGGAAAGGGTGTGTSGTTTTGCATATCTAATTTTATTTTGGCCCTTCTGTATTTTGGAACAGGCAATACACCATAGAAATGTACTATYGGAATAATTCTTTGAGGGAGCCTCACCCCCTCACTCTCCCTGGCTGCAAATTCCGCTGTCCCCTGGAGAGATTTACTCAGCTGGTCTCTCCCATCCTCGTACACTATTGGTCAAGAGAATGMAGAATGTAGGACATCAGAAGAGGTAAGCTAAGTGTTTTGGGCACATGTACCCAAAAGTAAAGTCAGGATTACATCTTGAGCCAAGAGCTCATTTGAAGTGACAATCCTTATCATAAGGGTCTGGTATGAAATGAAAAATACGCAGATCAAGGAAGAGAGATTTGTACTCATGGCTGTCATTTCTATTCCATTAATACATTTATCTATTCCAGCCCAATTTTCTGATGAAATTAAATCAAGACTGATCAGACTTTGGGGTACAGCTTTCACGTGGCATTTTTGCGGTGGGTTTTTTTTGTTTTGTTTTGTTTTAGTACAGTCAAAAAGACCTTCAGTTACTGACGAAGAACATGTAAATGCACTGACTTAGAGCAGTCACCTTATATTCTCCAACTGCAGAGTATTTGTCCAAGCTGATTACCAACATTATGCATTCCCTTGATTTCAGCAGGCATTCAGAGATCGAAACAGATGAATATTGAATAGTATACCAGACTGGTACTTACCAGAATGTCAAACRTATACAGAYACACAATGGCACACTAACGCATTCYCTCRTAGATTGTCTRTATCATCATATTAAGATCTTTACATTTCAATTTTCACCACTGATAATATTTAGTTTTGTAGAATGAGGGAACAGAAACGCAGAAAATGGCATTATCTATCTTTTTTCTAGCTCTATGTTGCTCAAGGGAACTAAAAGGTTTAAGAAATCCCACTTTTTAATGACCAAATAGTGTACCCAACATTAAAAAAAATCCCATATGGCTTTCTGAATCACTGATTTTAAGAAGAATTTGAATTGTCAGATATTGCAAGAATGCAGACCAGCCAACTCATCTGGTTGCAAATAATTTCCTGTTAAATATCTTTAATCCATTAACAGAATGAAGATAGTTTAGCCAAAATGAATGAAAAATTAGGAAGTGATGATTTGCTAAACAACTTTCTTCATTACAGTCATTGCTCACAAATTCTCAGGAAACATATCAGGAAATCACCACATTTAATTGGAAAAGGTAATTCGGCAGAGGAAGGGATGTTTCCAATGAGGTTTTTTACAGCCACWCTACAAATACAGTCATGGAAGAAAATGATAAATCATGTTTATACTGTGGTGATTAGCAATCTAAGCTTTGTGGAAATTATTCCTCCTCCTTCACAAAGCCAACTGTGTAACTGACCAGATAAATAAATGWAAAAATCTATCATATAATCAAAATCTGACAATAATAAAGACACACATATTTAGCCTTTAAGTTTAACACAAAGGCTGTGCTCTGTTTCAAGCTTCAAATTTTGCAGAAGTTTGATGGTGTTCAGGCATTTTACACTAAATCCAGCATCYCTGTTTTCAGTAGCAATCCTTAGTACTGAAAACACATAGGTACCACAAAARAGATTACAACAATCCTGATACTCCRATAAAAACWTTTTCCATACTGTCATACCAAAATTTGATGTTTTCCACTATTTTATCCTGGTATAGACTGGATCTGTTGGGGCCACATCCTAATTTTTTTGACTAATTTAGCAAATGTTAATTTCACTGTTCCTGAAGGCAGTTTGAAACTCTCTGTTATACATGAGTGGCGCTTGGGAAAAGGCCAAGGGACACTGATCCACAGCCCGCACAGTGCAGCACACTGACAGACTGCCCTGTGCTAAACCACTGTGAATTACCAGTTCGCAGTGAATGCAGACAGCCTGGAACTGCTGAGTTTTAACACCAGGAAGCTAAATTAAGGAGAATGATGCAGAGTTTACAGGTCACAATTACACCTGACATACACAGGTGYAACATCCCTGATTTGAGCTGGTTCCAGCTTAGTCAAAAATTATCKCAACTACAGTCCTTTGCTAATGCATGTGTTATTATTTTGATTATACATGCATGAGAGCATTTTATGGAGTCCATAAATGTGATTTTTTTTAAATAAAAACCAGGAGTGTGAGCTCAAAACTTTAATTTATATACATAGCTATTCTAAAGGGAGACAACAGTTCCCAACCATACAGCTGTCTCTATAAAATGCTTAATTGAAGTTTTATGGAGAGGATTTATGTCCCCACTATTAGGAAATAAAGGGGTTAGGCAAKAATTGCTATTACAGGTAACATAATACAATAGCAGTATTTCAGTGTGGTTTAAATTAGAGTCAAGTTCCTCCACAATCACAATGGCCATAGTGGAACATAGGAGACRAACAGAGCTCAACATATTTGGGAAGGAGGTAAAACAGTGAGCTCTCCCTGCGGTCTGCTTGCTGCTCAGGAAGCTTTCAGCATGGATTGACTCAACATTTCAACAGACTTTTCCTAATCCTATCAAAATGGAAGCTAATGAGTTAACTCCTCTCCACTTAGTCTGAACTGCCCACTTGTTGAGGTACTATTAATGGGTTAGCAATGCTTTTGGAGAATGCCATATGCTAAGAATGCATCTCTCTTTTTGTCTTACCTTTAAGTGTTCCCTCCATTATCTTTAGTGTGATTCACTTGATGAAAGAGCTCTTCCCATACTGTGATGTGACTCTGGTCCAACTTTTCTCATAAAATTCCATCAGTATGACCAACTGAGACTCCTGAGACYAACTGAGACTTCTATGAAAAGAAAACATTCCTTAGTGCAACAAAAATTATAGGAAGCAGGGACTTACCCTCCATGAATATCTGGTAAAACCCAAACACAATATGAAACCAGAGAAATTTTTCAAGACGTATTCTTTCCAAAGGGACYTTGCCAGAACTAATTCAAGTATGCAATTAGAGTGTTTTGAAAGCCTATAACCTTGACTTACAGCAAAATTGGAAAACACCTCTGAAGGAGTGTTACCCTCTTTTGAAGAATGAGACAAGGACTTTCAGAATTGGTGACAGAAGCAACTCTTCAAAAGGAAACTCAAAAGGAGGGTCTTTAGACTTTATTTTATTCAAGAAGTAGTGAAGAATTCTCCACAAGCAGATCACAGGACCCACAAGAATTAGGCTAATGCCTGCTTACTTACCTAAGAGATGCTTTTCTTCTTATTTCCTCTGCCTTTTACATGCACAAATATCCCATTTCTATGTAGAAGGAAGATGAGACTTATGGAAAGCATGGACTAGACCTAAGAAGAGCCTACAAACACAAAGACCTGGCAACAACTGGTTGACCCAAAAAGACTTTCAGATATTCATTCCAAAAAGACAGCAAGGTTAAGTGTTAATTTTAGAAAGAAAAATAATTTTCAAATAGCTTTTTTAACACGTTGCTTTTGTTATGTTACCTTGATTGTATACACTGATCTGATAAAGTCTGTGGTACCATGAAATCTGTAAGTTCATGCTGTTCTTGACATGAACAAATTAGCAATACAAAATAAAAAAAAATTTAGAGCTGCATGCTCTTTAAAACACATTGAGCAGAAGATGTTAAGCAATCTTTCACTAGGCACATTTTCTAATATTGCTATTGCAAAAGCAGCTTGTGTTCTTACTACAAAATCTGGGTCAGAAACCAGRTGAAATCTGGGTCAGAAATCAGATGAAACTAACTTATGAAAACAGTAGACATGCCTTTGCTTGAAGAACTAGGATTTCATATTTTTGTTTTCTCAAAGTCAAGAGGACTTTTTGTCAACAGTCTTATTGCCCACTGACCATTTCAAAGGGAACCAGAGAAACAGCTGAGATGCAGAAAATTTTGCCATTATGGCTTCATTTCCTCAGATCAGGCTTTTAGAATGGATGCTAAACCTATGAAAAGTATATTCCTTACAGCATAAGCAGATAACTGCCACTCCATAAGCTACAAATTAATCAAAATAATAAAAAGATCTGTTTTCCTTCCAACAAGATTCTAATTTTCAGAATTCTCACTGTCAAAGCCTATTCTCTTCCCAGCAGGTCCCAAGCAACAATTTCTGTGCTTCTTAAGCCACCATAGGAAATATGGGTCATTAGGAAAGCTCTAGTTAGATTTCTAGTAAAAAAATGCAACCCTTTTTACCATAGCATCCAAACAATGATAAAAATGTTTTCTGACAATATGAGACAACCATCTACCTTCTTCCTAATGCAAAGAAGAGCAAGCTTGTTTTCGCTGTATTACCTTAATGTCCCATAATGGACACCAGCAGAATGTCTGCCTAGGTCTGGCAGCCCTCACAGGAAAGTTAGTGCAAGCACTTTAAATTATTCATCTCAAAATCACACTGATCATCACACCTCCCTTCCTAAGAAGTAATTAAAAAAAACCTGCTAGACGAAAGAAAATAGAAAGGAAAAGCTGYGACTCCATCTTTATCAGTGTTAGACTTCTGACAGATTGTAGCYTTGGCTGTCAAAACCAAATTTCTAGGCACTTTCTCTTTTCTTCTCAACCTGTTCCTGCTTCCTGTTTTTCTGAGCTCGTGCCAACTTGTGGTGCTTGAGTTACTTTTCATGTTTTGTTTGCCAGATGTTCAGAAGTGAAAGTTCAAGAGCTCTAAAGCATGTTTCATGCTTCTCCCATCGAAGGTGAACAAAACTTTTCTGTTGATTTCCTGGATTTCTTTCCATAGAAAAAGGAATAGAGACCTGAGACATTCTTCATTATTCTCTTTAGTGTCCAGTTATCCGCTCCTCCCCGCCTTCCTAACCCAAATCCACATCTCAGAAATTTTCAGAATTGCATGAAGACACCTTGTCCCACAGACTTGTCTGGTATGGGGGATCATGGACTTCAGTTCAGTTAAGGTGCCCCCTTTCCAACACATGTTCAGCAAATGTCCTCTTCCATGCTACATGCATCAGTGCATATACCTTGAACAATCTGATTTCTGCTGAGCAAAAAAAAACTTCAAATTTATTTAAAAAATTAAGACATTTCTAAATTTTTTATTCCCCCTATCCCTATTGAACAGAAACCTCGTCACGCGCATTCTTTGTAATGTTTTTTGTTCTCAAGACTATCACTGTAAAAGCACAGAAAGAAAGATTTCCCTTATATTTTGCTAACTGAGGGAAAATAAGCATCAGTGTTTATAARGGCTGAAACATAAAGCCCAGATCTTATTGCAGAAATATAAATTGRGATATCAGTGAATAAATAATAAACTGCTCTAAATCAAGCTTTCCTACAACTTCACCAGCTGAAAATCTGTCCTGCAGTATTTGATGGCATAAAATTATACACAGGTTTGCTTCAGGTCCTCTTAAAGAAGAAATGTGTAAAAATTGGTGAAAACCCCATACACTTTGGTTTTTGAATTATTTAAATTATTTATTTTTTAAATATGTTCAAAAAGAAGGATCACCTGGACATGCAACTCCTTCTCTTCTTTCACAAACAATGCATAGATAGACCAGTCATATTTTAAAGAAGAMTTGCTAAAGATACAATAACCTGAATAGTCACAGATGCTGTAATATAGGTGGGTGTAATTTGTGATCATTATTTTTTTTTTCATATGTGGAAGCAGTGTCAGCAAAATGGGCAATGAACAACAGAAAAGCAACAGTAATTTTATGCTGCCTGGGAAAGGTGGAACTGGACAACCTGAACTATCAGTTTCATTAATTTMATCACCTTCTTTTCTCTTTGGGTTATTTACTGAGCTGATTATCAAAAATGAATGAAAGAAAAAAAAACCAAAACAATCCAAACTCTGCATAATCCAGATCAAATTAATCAACTTATTTAGGTTTGCATCATGGTCATACTAGAAATGGGTTTTCCTTCTTTGTATTTAATGTTTATAGTACTCATCCAAGATGTGGCGCACACACAAATCCTTCAGCAAAAGGATATGACTCCACTTCTTCCAGAAAATAAAATCACCACCAAACTGCAGTTTCAGAGAGCAAAGAGTGGAGGAATTGTCCTTTCTGTCTCTTTCTTATTTACTGTTCACTTTGTTTTTTTGCAAAAACCTGCAAATTATGTTTACCATGTCTCAGGCAAACATCTTAATCTCATAAGACCAAAAAGAAATTCTCTGAGTGCCTGTCACCAGGTGCATATTACAAACTTGGGACAAACTAAKAAATTATTATAAGACAGTGAATAGACACTGTCTTCCCTCCGCGTCCCTTAGAATAGTAACTTTGGGCTTAGGGCATTTTTTCCTGTAGTGTAAGATATAGGTTCATGTTTTGTCAGCAGTATAAGAAAGTTAATTCTTGCTGTGTCACAAATTAACTCATTTGTCCTTTTCCACTCCCCACAACTGGGCAAAAACAGCCTAACAGAAGACTGCAACACAGTCTTGGCTTTCTCATGTTTCAAAATGCAGCTTGGAAAATGTGTCATGTTTTTTACTGAAACCAATTTTTTTTTTCTTTCCCTTTTTCAGCTAAAATAAAAAGCTTGGAGATAAAGCCAAACTATGCCAAGTGCTAATCTGCACATGCAGTCAGTAACAGGACCTGAGCTGTTTCCCCGGGTGAGCAGCCTGATCCATGAGTGCTGGCAGTAGTTTCACACCTGGTGCCTTGACTGCAGTGACTTCYACCCTTTCAGAGAGGAGATTGTGCTCCACCAGCAGTGGTTACCTCAGGTAAACCTTGTGTACAATAAAGCATAGGTTCATTTGCAACCAGGCCACCTCAAAGCAAATCAAGCTCTGTTTCAGCAAGCCTTTAAGATAGGTCTGTGTACTTAAAATGGATAATTGCATTTAAGTGAATGCTACTTAATGCCACRATGTCATAATTAGAACTTACAACAATAAGCCAAATTAACATAAATGRTATTTAAATTGTTTAAGTTCACTTRCATTATAATGCTTCAACAACTGTAAATAGATTAAGAAGGATTTTTAATAATTATTTWATTATTTTTATTATTATTTATAACTTTTCCTGAGAAGTGCCTGGATTTAGTTGCCACAGAATATGACAAATTTATAGCTGCTAARCACCCAGTAGAAATGGAGAGAAAAGGAAATTTCCAAATTAAATACATGCTACCAACATACTAAGAGATTACATACAGGATTCCTGCATGACCCTATCTTAACTAGTATAGCACATAAATTGGGATATTTTTCCATTTTGGAATGTGTAGACATTTATTTTTGTGGCTGTGGTACCTATTCTTTTGAGCATAAAATACTCTCTCTAGTAAAGTATACATGCCAAAGGGAAGAGTGAAGCAACAGAAATCACAGCCACTTACCACATGCTTGGCCTTGCGTTAAAATATCATTTTTTTAAGAGATGTTAGCAAAGATTTTCTATAAAATGCGGTTGTTAYGTATTTTCCAAAATTTCTGAATTATGCCATCCAGAATCACACAATAAATTTTGAGTTCAGGTCCTAAAATGAAGTCATTACAAGGGTTCCATTATAATGGGGCTTCAGTGGTCAGTCACTCATCAATGAAACACAATAAACCAGCAAATCTTATAAAAACTAGTCAGTTRTGAATTTCATGGTAATGTCTTAAGAAGGACAAGAAAAGATTCTGAGAGCCAACAGTGATTCTTGATCAAACTGCTCAGGAACCACCCCTTTTATAGATTAAAATGTAGGACAGTCATTCTTGATTTTTTAGGCATATTGAAGTATTCCAAAGAAATTATATTTTATGACCTGCATTCTAAAATAATAGAGGAAGATGATCAGCTTTTATTTGTTTTCAGAATGCCAACATATTACACATTTATGAAGTATAGATTACACTCATACACCTTCTGCATAGGCAAAAATCACACTAGGAGAGATCAAAAAGAAGGGTGGAGACAAAACAGTGGATGAAGAAAGAAGTCCAAGTGCTGAAAACTGGGAATGGATGAGAAGACAGATGGGAAAGTTTGGGAGCTGTGGTACTCCTCCCATCCAGACCAGTCCATCAGACAAAGGGGATACATTAGGACACTCACGCAACTCAGAGGAAAGAAAACCTGAAGCTTAGTGGGCTTTAGGGCCCCAAAGATGGAATTTATGGCAAAAGGTAAAACACCTTTGTAGAAAATACTGCTGCAGAGASCTCAGCAGAAGATCCTGAGACACATTTGGGTATGACAGAGATGGAATGACAATATACAAAGGACCTAAAATTTTAGCATTTGAAGAACTCAGAGATCTCTGCAAACTAATTCATTATTCAAAAAATGCTTTTGAAATAAAGTCTACAGGTATTGTTATTCTTATTTTATAGAGAGGATGTCAGCAGAGGCAAGCTGAAGAATCTTCTCAAAGCCAGTGAGTTACTGTCAGAAAGTGCATTCTTAATCAGTGACAATAAAAAATATTAAATCCACAACTTGTTCACGAGAAATTTCTTAGAGATTTGAGGCCAGAAAATATCTTGATGTAAGTAGTTCCAAAGGAGAAGCATAGGAATACTCCAAGGGAAAAGAAAAACAACACACACAGACTTAAGAGCAAATAACTGCCCAGCAAGAATCTTACAAAGCATACTTGCCTCAAGATTTATTTGAGTGTTTTATCTGAGGGACTGGCAATTTTAACCTTCATGAACAATGTTTTAAATAATTATTCTGATTTCACAGTGATAATGTGGAAGAGGGAAAAAAAGGAGGGGAGAGAAGCTAAAAAGTGGACTAGCTGAACAGCAAAGAGAAAAAAGAAATAATATTGTCTGACTCGGTTCTGAGCTTATCCCTTGTGGTTGTGCTATAGTTTGGAAAAATTCCAAGCACTGAGAAGTCAGAACAGGTAGGTTGAAACATTAGGAATGCTTGGCAATTCCTTTCTTTTTGAACTTCTTCCTTACACTCCAAAAGAGAAAAAAAGGAACAGAATTATGATTTGATTAAAAAGAATGTAAACAGTAATTTGAAAACAAAGGGCGATGCAATTTGTTGCGTAGTCACACAACATTCCTCTTGGGTTTGAAATGCACCAGCGGCAGTTCCGCCCCTTTTGAAAGTACARCCTGACGCCTCACAGTTCAGCCTGAGCAGCTGCTGGAGCCACAAAGTCTTTTTTCTTTTTCTGTCAGGATGGGTGTGATATGGCTTCCCAACGCATCTAGGATCCTGTGCTTTTCTTTTCATATTATTCTCATTCTGCTTCAACAGACTACTGCAGCACGAGAACTGAAGTTTGTGGTTGTAGTAAGTAGATTTGTTCTCTATTTTTTTGTGGGGAATACAGGGACAGAATTACATGTCTTGAATCAAACAAGGTGTGCAGTTGCTTTGCCTGTCTTCAAACTTAGAAATAACTACTGCTGCCCATTTGCTTATTGAGTTTAAAGACCTTACTTACAGAGAGATAAAAATGTCTCTAGTTGTTAGAATTTTCATCTCCTAACCTTGAGTTATTATTTCAAAATAACTGGCTTTGTGGTAGAGGCATAGGTGGCACTCCAATGCACAGTGTGAGAGCTGTTATGGACTACCTCTTCTATATTTGGAAGCTGAAGTTTATGATGTTACAGAAGTTACCATACACAAACACAAAAAAAAGTATTTTCCATTTTCACAATAACTGAATTGTCACAGCAGTATACTGAGAAACAGAAATAGGCAGGTGTTTTTATGTAGAGATTTGAGACACATGATGCATTGCACTTACGCTGAAAATAGACTGTAATAATTTTTTTGCTAGGCCATTTCTTATTTCAAAGTAGCTAAACACTACTTCACTGCCACTTTCACAAATACCTCTAGAAAAAGAGAGATTAGTTCAATGTAATACTTTGGATTATGAAGGCTGAACCACAGTCCTTTTCAATTATTTTTTTTTTTTTTAAATAAAAGGTATAATGATAGAGAATAGCTAGTCCAAAGGGATATTTTCTATACAAAGTTGAGGTGAGTGGAATTAATTTTTAYAAATAGGCAATTGAAGATCTTCTCCTTTAGTCTTTCTCTGTTTGAGACATTATGTGTGCAAACAAGTAAGAGGCAGAAGTACTGTACCCAAAATACATCATGTGATTCTAGATAAAGTATTTCATGTGTAGTTGCCTATTGGCTGCATTGTAGAGGCACAACTTGGAGGGAGGCCAGAGYGCACAAGAAAAACCAGTTCCTACTCCTGCTGAGACACCACACACAGCAGGGACCCAGCACTAACTCCAGTAACATTCTGTATAACGATATACTTAAACGTGGTTTCAAGGATAACAGGGAGAACTGGATACACAGATGAAAACAGGTAGACAGCAAGACTTTAGAGAATTAACTCCTGAAAAGGAAGGAGATTTTTATCGAATTGTAGCTGTTACTGTGTTCTAACAAGCAGTGGTTTTGCATAAAGCTRCTGGAAATGTTTACAATTATGAAGATAGAGACTTAGACCAAAATCCATAACTATGGTTATCCACAACTATGCATCTATCTAACAAACAAACAGATAACCAAAAAAAAAAACCCACAACAAAACAAACAAATGAAAAAAAAAATCCAGTGTAGTTTATTGTAATAAGAATAGTAGGTAAAAGTTATTTATTTTTTTCCTGATACTTTTGCTTAAACTGACCAATCACCTAAAAAATTACAATAGTTTTAATCTTTTTTTCTCAAGGCATGGTTTATGTATCCTCTATTCAATTTTGCCTTCTGAACTCACTGGAAATGAGTTCACATTTTCATAGGAACAGAATTGTTATCATAAATCAATAGGATWGGAATTGATCCTAGAACATACCACTAATAAAATGGGATATAATGAGAATGTGGTTACAGTCAAGGTAAGTCTAAAAGGCATCTTTCTGACATACTTCAATAGCCATTCTCCGGATGTTCTATGTAAGTTACTATGTTTTCACCTGGGAGTATAACTGCATTGTGAAAATTGTCACAATGACTTTTTAAAACTTTTCTAGCAGAATTACGCAATACGAAATACATCTACAGTGGAGAAAAGAAACAAATAAATGTTTCCTTCTGCTCACTTCTAGAATTGTGCTGTGCCTGGGAAGGTGTCTCACTCTCTCCTTACAACTTCCAACTTTCTGCTGATTCTTTGCATTTTGATTGTTGACCACATGTCCTTTCATCTGAAAAGCTCTAATTCAAGCCAATTTGTCAAARTGCTTTTTTAATTTCCTTGTTTACATGTAAATATTAGCTTTCGCCACAAGACTTGTGCATTGAATTTAAGATTAAAGACAGAATTTAAATGTAAAGAACTTGAACTTTAAATTTAAAGAAAGAAAATAGGAAATATATAGGACAATCAAGGCACCTAAGTAGAAATGCAATAGTGATTTATTGCCTCAGTGCCTCAGTATAAATAAGTTCTGACCTGTAACTTCTGCCTCCACACACACACTCATTTCAYCTGTCATATTTACAAAGAGATGAGGTTTCTGAGGAACTGTGATTTCATCATGTCTTTCTTTGTAACTCAGGATAGGAAGCGTTGGCAGAGCATGTTATCTCTGAGCATGATTTGCCTAATCAAGCCAAGCCATCTGAAACCRTGACTAAACATGCTCAGTATTTCTACATCTCTGGTTTCCCTGAACTGGTGGTATGATGGTTCCACTTCACTTTTGTTTCTTTATTCCCATTGTTGCCTTCAAAGTAAGACATCTTTTTGTTTGAAGTTAAGTCTGTCAATCAAAGTGTCTGCAAGAGGTTCACTATTAGACAGACACTTCACTGTAATTCATGGCATTTCTAAATGAAGATGTTAGGTATATGTGTGTGGACACTACACATGAAATATTTTCAGTTCACCCTCTCCTCTGCAGTTTATTGCCAATATGATTTTTCACCTGACAACAACGGAAGCAAATGCTGGCTGAAATCGGAGTCATGTGACCATTTTCACATGATCACCATCACAAAGTTACCAAGAGGGAATGGATGAACCCAGACATCCAGTCAGGTTCAAGCTGTGTCAGAGAGGAAGGAGACAGTAATGGATTTGGTAATCGTCCACCTATTGCTTTTGAGAACTGAGGTGAAGCTTCAAAAAGGAGTGCTGAAATTAATGCACCAAACAGATCTGCTTTGCTCTTCTTATTTACATTCCCCTTGACCTCCCTTCCTTCTTGATTTCTGGTGTCTTTTCACTTTTTAAGATGCTTCTTTTCCTCTTTTCTCTCATTCTGCCATGTTCTGTACCTTTTGAAAGGTCAGGAAGGAAATCTGTAGGCCAAGATATAATAAACACTGCAGCATACATTTTTAAACCAATTTGAAGGATCAATTCCTTTTTAACAAGTTGAAATCATGAGTGTTGAGAAACACACATTGCTGAGTAAGCCAAGATCTGTAGGGATACACTTYCTTGTCTTATAAGGTGTTGTAATGATGAACAGTTTAAAATTTTTTAAAAAGTCTCCTATGATGTAGCTATGAGTGAACAAGCTAGTCTTTCAGATTAAGTGGTTGTTCATAAGGTCATTATTTMTTTTGCAACTGCAGCTGAAGTAAGGTTATTTTCAGAAGTAACAAGAAGGAGGTTGGAGCATATACAAAAATCGGTTGGCTAAGAAGCTTTGTCCTTGAATTCCTAAAAACAGGGTTCTGCTTTTTTAAGTGTTTGTTCCCTTCTTGCTACTTCTAGCTTAGTGTTCATGYCATATTTATGTGCTCCTGTGCAATGAAAGTGCAGAAAAATGAACAAGGACCTGAGCTCTTTCCTGTTTTGTGTGGACTTTAAAAAACTGTACTTTTTAGAAGAGCACACCCTCCACTCCTTCCATTTCTTAAGGTTACAAAGAAAGAAAATATTTTTCTTTATATCTCYTGCTCATATATTCAATATATATTTTGATCTTGATCTTTCTGCAYCTACTATTCAGGTAAGCTGTATTCAGGTAAAATGCTACTCTATTCTGGCTTATTGAAATCTTTTAGGGATTGGCTATTGTGACAGTGAAACACAYGCTCAGAATTATGTCATACATTAAATATAAAACAACACAAGCCAGTCCTTAAAATCTAACACAGTCAGTAATTTTTCACTAAAAAAAAAGAGTATATTTATTGACCAAGTGTTGATATATTGTTAAATATTGCTTAAAATATACATTAAAAATAGGAATTTAAATGTCASTCAGTTTGAGTAACTGTCAGTTACCCATAGAAATGCTTTTCTATCCAACTGTGAAGTTGGAAAATTTAAAAATAGAGCATGCAGCTATATTGTAATTGGGAATTTAACCTTGATTCTTTACAGCAGCATGTTTTACAGCTTTACGGCTTTACAGGTTGTTCAGAAAAACTAATGAAATCTACTTGACACCTATGTATGTCACCATAAACAAATAAGCAGTTATACAAAAACACTTTTTTCTACTAGCTTTTCTAGCACACAATTGAGTCAGCCACCAGACAATGTAGCACTTTACTTTATTCTCCTGTTCACTACAGGTGCAATTAGAAATTGTGATGAAGAACAAACTGAGATTCCAAATTAGTAACAAAAGAGAATTTAAAAAATGCATTGAGAAGCAAAAAAGCACCCAACAAACAAGAAACCTGATGATGAGGATGAAAAGCCCTCCTTGGTTTGYGGCAAAATATTCATTTCATGTTGGCCACATATTCAATGAAATTCAACTAGCAAAAAAAAATTAATATGCAGTCTTCTACATGGTTCTAATGGTCACTTATATTCTAGCAAACTTTGTTGTCTCTGTAGAAATGAACAGAGGGAGAAATCCAATTATRTTTGCCTTTAATAGATGGTATTTTCCATCCCTGAAGTACCTGCTCTAGCACAGTTTATGCACAGTAGTAGAGAAGGCTGATGGAAAGCGTGTGTGTTGCAATTAAAACATTAACTCATACACTGGTGTTTACTTTGAAAAATATAAACGTGAAACACCTCCCAGTGGGAGTGGCAAACTAACTAATTGTGCAACTCTCTCTGATGTCTGGGTAAGAATGATGAGGCTTAATATACAAGCTATATACCACTGAGATATTAGGAAATAATTATAATTTTATTAACAAATATACCATGCTGCTACCTGTCATTTTCTTGTGTGAAGTTAGGAATGAGGTTTTTGATGGGAACACTGATAAGCAAAGGTAACATTTCCTACAGTTTAGGCCAGCATCCTGGAGGTTGTCTGGAGCCCTGTGAAGTCCAGCATCTCCTTTCATGTGAAACTTTTGTGGATTTAACTTTTCTAAGCCCACATAGCATATATTTCAGGGGGATAATTCAGTTTTTCAGAATCATTTGACCTGGGGTTGTAATTTTATTTGTATGCTGGAATAAGAATACCAAAAAGGTTTGCTTGATTTTTATGATTAAAGATCATATGGTTGAATGGGTCACACTAATACTCATCAAGCGGGAGTACCCAGGCTAGCAAAGGAATCAAATCCTTTGTTCTCACTGTGTCTAATAGAAATAAAATCCTACAGACTTTTAAAAACATTTTTATATATGCATGTAAAAGTACTAATCAAGTAAGTATTAATTAAGCTAACAGTGTAAATATTTATACTCTTTCATCTTTATACTTTGGGATGATTGAGAAATTGAGCATWAGATTCAGGCATACATGGAATTTCTTTTAAAGATACTGTTATGAAAAAAGTTACCAAAAATTTTAAGTGTCTATGACAAAGTAATTAAATATTAATCTAAGCACATCGATAACTGGTTTAATATTCAGAAGTGCTGAGTTTCCAAAATTCAGTCAGATTTCCTTTCTAGATGCCTAGCTTTGAACATAATCCCAACATTACCATCTTGGGTGATTAATTTTATGTTCTAGGAGGAAGAATCATCAGGCATATGCCCACTTAATYCCTATATAATTATACATATTCCTGAATGCAAAGAATGCATTCACATCCTGCTTCACTAGGTTCCTGCAGACTCTCCAATATTTTCATTTGAAAAATGACACTGGAAGTATAATGYATGCTTGACTTCTAGTTAGATAAGAAAGGATTTTTACAGTAAAGATCTCAAGGGGTTTTATTGGTTACATTGTTAGGTTTTCCGACATGGTGACCGAACACCGATTGTAAACTTTCCAACTGATCTACACAAAGAAAGTGAATGGCCCCAGGGATTTGGACAACTCACCAAGGTATGTTGACTTTCTTAGAAGAACTTAAAAATGGTACTAAAAGAGGAAGTGAGAAGATGGTTTTTTGTGTGTGTCTAAAAAGCAAATCCCAAGTTCTGATCCTTGTTATTAGCAAATACCGGTACCAGTAACTCATAAACATTTTTGCAATGTTATTCATTCATTCACCTACTGAAATCTTGTTCATCATAGCTTCATAACTATCTTCCTAAAAACAACTTTGTGATAGTGTGTCTGTTTCAAATAAATGGTGAGTTTAAACACTGCGCTGTTAACATTGATGAAGTTYTAATGACCATTAAGCACTGAGCCAGGCGAAAGGACAAAGGAATGACACCTGCCTACCAGGCCAAGTGAGGAGTCCACATCTCATCATTGGTCTGACAACCACCAATTCACAAAACAAGACAAGACTTTCAGGAGAAAGTTGCTTCTGGGGACAATATGTCTTCTAACAAAGCAACTTGCAGCCCAGACTTTCACTGGATGCACTGAACCTACTTGTTGCTCTGGCATTTTAACCTCAAGCCTTAACTCTTTGTCTGTATTTGACATATGATGCTCTGGAGCAAAAAAAAGCCACTGCATTTCCTAACAACATTTTGTCACAGTGCAGAAGTATGAAAAAGACACAGTCCGGTGTTTAATGTTTGAAGGGAGGCATGAAAAATCTGTAGAAGTCAGACACTGAAACAATGCATWACTATCTTAGGTACCAAGCTTATATATTAAGAAGTTTCTGCTTTAGCACTGACTTTTTTGAGAGTTTTTTTGCTATTTTGCTATCATTTTAGCAAGAGTTGCAAGAATGTACTTCTCTGACAGGTAGAAGTTAAAAAGTTCAGATCAAGTTTTAGAAATGAATAACAGACAAGACAGTGTGCAACTTAAGACAACTGCAGGCACACTAAGGCAAAGTATGGCAACAGAAGAATGCTATTTAAGGCATGAAATATAAGCCACAAATTCATCAGGCTGAACAAATAACAGAGCAGTGACAATGATAAATACTGGCTTGTCAATCATCCTCTCTCAGCTGTCACTAAATACATTGTAAAGGACAACATTGATCAGCGTCTACAGAGCTACAGAATGTGGAAATGGTATTTGTATAGAATCATGGGCATTGCCTTTCTGTAGCAGATTTGCAGTCTTAGCATTTCAGAACATAATTTTTTCATAGATATAAGTGAACATTTCTGTTAAAAATTCTAGATCACCTGCAACATACACAGGTGTTCTGGTTTTGGCGAAGAGAGAGAYTGTATGGGGCTCTGTTTTGGATTTGTGTGCTGAAAACAGTGCTGMTAACACAGGGATGTTTTTGTTACTGCTGAGCAGGGCTTTGCTGTTTCTTGTAYCACCCTGCCAGTGAGTTTGGCTGGGTATGCACAACAAGTAGAGAGGGGTTACAGCTGGGACAGCTGATCCCCCACTGACCACAGAGATATCCAGTACCATACGGTGCCATGTTCAGCAGATAAAATGGGGTGGAGAAGGAGGAAGGGGGTGGGCATTCAGCATGATGGCATTTGTTTTCCCAAGTAACTGTGATTGAGCTCTGCTTTCCTGGAGGCTGAACATCTGCCTGTCCATGGGAAGSGGTGAATAAACGCCTTTTTCTGCTTTGCTTCATGTGTGGCTTTTGCATATCAAGTTGTCTTCAAACCCTCGAGTTTTCTCACTTTTACTATTCTGATCCTATCCYTAATTTCACCAGGGGGTAGTGGGTGAGCARCTGTGTGGTGTTCAGTTGCYAGCTGGKGTTAAACCACAATAACAGTACGTTTTATGAATGGACAATGATMATTTAAAAGCTGATTGCTGAAGACAAAAAAAAGAAGAAAATAGAAAAGACACTTTTACATTAAAATTCACCTTAATCTAGTACTCACCCATATGCTTGCCTTACAGACTGGAATGCAGCAGCTGTTTGAACTTGGACAGTATATGAGGAAACGATATTCCAGCTTCTTGAACAGCACCTACAACCGGCAAGAGGTACAGAACAGAACTGTCTGGAGCACCTTTCTCTGGCATAGCAGAACTAYGGACTTACAAAAGCACATGATCATACTCATTTTATTGATGGAGAAATTTAGGCCCTGGAAGAACATTTTGAAAGTCAGACTTATGTCAAGATAAAAACACAGAACAAAGTCAAACTTTCAGCTCTTACCTTCTGTTTGGGTCTTTCATGGCCTTATTTTCCCACACTGAACAGCTCCACACCACYGAATGGGTTGGGAATTTATACAGTGACCCATTATTGTTTTACCCTTTTGAAAGATAAATTYCTATCTAGTTGTTTGATGGGCCATGCTTGTATATTTCATCCTGTAAAAGAGAGGTCTAACAGCTGTTGGAATGTGATGATCATATGCTACAGATCAACTGTGGGGAAGATACCACTACCAAAATACTATTTTTGGTCTATATAGGAGGAATGCATTATGGGAAGATATGAAAGGCCTTTGYTATGCTTCCAAGAGAAGTTTATGATTTTAAGGACCTTAACATTCTGGAAATACCACTGATAGATCATAGAATCATTTAGGTGGGAAAAGATCTTTATGAATTTCAACTCCAACTGTTAACCTGTCCACCACTAAACCATGACCCTAAGTACAAGGTCCACACGTGTCAATATTCCTCTGAATCTCARAATGTGGAGAACTTCTACTTTGAAACCATGTCTTTTTATTCTCTCTGAGGGTTAGATTCCAAATTAAAAGATGACTTGATAATTCCATTTATGAAACTGAAGTAGGACTCTAGAATGCTGAGTTATGGTTTTCCTGTTTTGACTTTATGTAAAAACATAAAACTGAAAACAAGAAGTCAGGATTGAGAAGTTGTCTAAAATTTCTCTGTTATTTTTATAGTTTCCATTTCATCTYTAATTTTTTGCCATTTTATTTTCAGTTTTACATCCAAAGTACAGATTATGATCGCACCATCATGAGTGCCCARTCATATCTTTCTGGCCTTTTCCCACCAACTAGCAGCCAAATTTGGAACCCTGAGCTTCTCTGGCAACCCATTCCAGTTCATACTTTTCAAAAATCAACAGAGCAGGTGAGTAGTGGCTAGATGGCTACATGCTTCCTATAAGGTCTTAAAATTTCACAGACGCAAAAAAAAAAAACCAAAAAAACAAAAAAAAAACAAAAAAAACAAAAAAAAAAAGATGGCTACATGCTTCCTATAAAGTCTTAAAATTTCACAGACGCAAAAAAAAAAAACCAAAAAAACAAAAACAAAACAAAAAAAACCACAAAAAAACCAGGAAAAAAAGGAAAATAGCTAAAAACCTTTTTTTATGCTTTTTGAGTTCAATATAATAAAAAATATCAATGGCAGCTACTGACTGACAAGTATGTCATAGGTCAACTGTAATAGCTACATGAAAATCCTCCTTCCATAGTTGCAGAATACCTGAATTCTCATGCACACTACCATTTTCTCCAAGGTCATTTCTTCTGACCAGAACACTTTTGGACAGTGTTCTAGGGACGTTGCCCTAAATCTTTAGAGGAAAAAAGTGCTTTTCTAAACACCACTCAACTAGGCAGACCTTGTCTCTCTGACAAGTTTGTTCTATAGTTTATTCAATGAATTGAATTTTCACCAGCCACGGTAATGACCTCAAAATTATTACCTTCTTATTCTGGTAGTACTTAGGTATTCTAATTACAGACAAGGGTTCTTTYATGCTCAGTGCTACAGAAACATTTAATGAAACCCTAGCACTTYTCTTGCAGATCATAAGAGTAGATCTACCTGTTGAAGGAGTTTTCCTACATGTAGCTCTCACTGGCTGACTCAGGTTTAGATTTTAATTTCACTTACTCTTATGACAAGGACTATGTAAGGAACAGTGTGTCCAAYAAGGATAAAAAGCTATTGAGCGTAATAACAGGTAGCCTCATTTAGTACTGGCTTTGAGGACAGAAGCCGACTTTAAGGAAATTTGTAAAAACTCCCTATTACATAACGGCCTGTCACCAACATCAGATAATGGACTCAGTCATTAGGGAGCTGCCACACCTCTCTCCCTTTGATGTTCCTCCMTTCTTGGAGACCATGCTTGAAAGCAGGTACAGAAAGAAAGAGTTTCCACAACTGGGTTAGGCACAATGTGATTCAGCCAGAAACTTAACCCTGTTCCTCAACATTAAAGTGTGCTGTCACTGTTATTTAAATACAGGACACCAGGGGAACTTCTTTCACCAGAAGACCAAAAAAGAGTCAAAGCAGTCAGAGCTTTGGTCCATATAATAATTCAAACCCCTTAGGGGAATCACAGTGCAATTTAATGACCTGTCTGGAGAAGGCAAGCTCATTTGTAGGAGTCTCTAGTACCTCATCGCTTCTGTGGCTGCTTCAGGAAGGGGTATTGGCTCTTCCCTTAACACACCTCTGCAGCAATTCAAATGCCTGCTACATATGCAAATCATCTGAAAAAAAAAAAAATTTCCTTGTTAAACCAAGCAGATGCATGAAGGTATTTTCAAGCCCTAAGCAACACAAAAAGGGAAACTGAAGCCAGGTACAGTCCTGTAAAAAAATCCATAATCATAGTTTAGTTTTAAGCCATTGAAATCTATCAACACTCAACAGGCAACAATACTGAGTACTGCTTAATAAAGCCAAAGGGAGTGGCTTAATTAATAACACCTAGAGAGSGATAATTAAGCCATAAAGCAAGAGACACATTTATTATTATGTAATTAAACAACATTCCCCAGTTTCATATTGCAGCTTTGAGCCTTCATCCTCTAGTGTGCTGCTGTTACAGAAAAATTGTATACTTGGTAATCTGTTCAAATTTAAGTGGGCTACAGTCAGTTGGTGACTGCTGCCAACTTCACATTGGAGACAGGTGGAAATGCAGTCTGTTAATGTCATAGGATAAGACAAGTGCTGGGTCAAAAATGCTCTAGTGATGTGACATAAAGTGCTGAACCAGAACAAGTTTGCTTTGTTCATCATGGCTTTTCACTGACACTTCATGCTGGATCAGATATCGCTCGTCTTTCTGCAATTGATATWAACCATATTTGCCAGAGTTTAAAGGATGCATGTATTTACATGTTGTTCAGATAAAATATGTACTATCATGTGACTTTGTAATGCATACACTCAGAGTAATTAAAAGTGAACCATATCCCTAAAGAGGAAAAGAACCCTTAGGCTCACAGCTTTTTGTATTTCAGGAGCATAATTTATTTGTCACTTTTGTTTCAACTTCTGTGCACTAATTGGTACTTAAATTGCGTATCATAATCAACTGATCTCCAAAGAAATGAGCTGGATGTGTAGATGCAGAAGTTACTCAGGTTCCGGTACCAGGTGAAGTTAAGTTACATCTGGGGGGATTCAGAAAATGAGAGGGAAATGGAAACTTTTTAAAATTTCAGATCATGCACCTTGATCCATTTCCCAAAGCAATCCCTTCACAGATAATTTCTTTTCGCTAATATCATTTAAACTGAGGGAAATCAAGCCATCGTAGACTCTAGCAGCCATTGTAAAGTCAAGCTACCACAGTCTATCACCTATGTTAACTGAATTCATGATTAAGGTACCCAAACAAACAATTGAGTAGCTCTAGCACAGCCATGAATCTGTGTAATAAATATTACATCATCAGTCTCAGCAACAGAACAGAGGGGTGCTGATAATTTTAGAACTAAAGTTTTTCTTTTCATGTTTCAGAAGCTGCATTTTCCTCTGCCCAACTGTCCCCGTTTTGATGAACTTGAGAAAGAAACACAAACATCTAAAGAATTTCAAAATAGAATACAACCATATAGGGTAAGAACTGTCCCCGTTTTGATGAACTTGAGAAAGAAACACAAACATCTAAAGAATTTCAAAATAGAATACAACCATATATGGTAAGACAAAATAGAAAAAAACAAAAACAAGATGTGAGAAGAAGGAAGGTAACTAAGTTGTAGAAGTTATGGAATTGCATTGTTTCCTTTTGCTAAAATGCAAAAATAAATCAGAAAAAAAATTTAAATCCCATTAAGGGTAGATATTAGAAAAGGGTTATTCACCCAGAGAGTGGTTGGATATTGRAAAAGGCTTYGCAGRGAAGTGGTCACAGCACCAAGCCTGACAGAGTTCAAGAWGCATTTSGACAGTGCTCTCAGGCACATGATSTGATTCTTAGGGTGTCCTGTAMAGAKCCAGGAGTTTAACTCGATGATYCTTGTGGGTCCCTTCCAAATCASCTTATTCTGTGATTCTGTGAAAATTCTGTGAAAATGTTGGGTGTTAGTGAATCTATCTGCATGTATGTTCCATTTATATTGAATATCTGTGGTATACTCTTCACTTTTTCTCAACAGGACTTTATACAAACAATGGCAGTCAACACAGGTCTTGAACTAAATCACCTTAAAATACTGGACAATTTCCAGCTCTGGAATACATATGATACTCTATATTGTGAGGTAATAATAAGTCAATAGGTGTTGGGGAAGAATGTAACCTCAGCATTGGGTTTCAGTTAAACCATGGCAATGTGTTTTCAGAGGAATAAGTTGCCTTCTCTCCTTCTCGCTTTTTTTTCTTTTTTTTTAATTTGAACTGAAGTTAGAATTTAGTGCTTTGGTAAAAGTTAACAGAAAAACATGTCCTATAGCTTGGCAAACTGTTGTTTCCATTTAATGTATTAAGCACCAGTACCAAAATCCACTCCCATTATTCCCTTTTTATCCTTTTCAATATGCTGCTAGAGAATGGTTTGAGCATGCTGGCTATAATATATTCATGTTTTTTTACAGAGAAATGAAATTATTAGCTTTAAACTATCAACAGGTAAGCATGAAAATACTCTAAGATTTTGAACATGAGAGATCATGAAATATCACAATCTTTTTGAGATGGTGATTGCTACCAGTGAGAATAACTTTTTGAGATGGTGATTGCTATCACTGAGAATAAAACCAAACTGACCCCAAGCATGGGATGGTTCCATTTGGCTCCAGTCATTACCAGCAGTGCATGAAGGTTTTTGAACATCTCCTGTACAAACTGAGGCAATTTAACATGACAAGACACTGTCACTGTTACATGACTGGAGAGTGACAGTTATCTCTAGCTGCACAGTGATAGAACTGATATGTGGACAACTGTATGGAAAGGGAAGAAAAATTAGATATTTATAACCTGAATACCCAGAGAAAGGAAGAGAAGAGGACATATGCCTGTAATACTTCTCACCAAACCCATGTACTTCTATAGCAAGAACACATCATCCCTACAAGAAATCGCCTTCACACAGGTGCTTCTGCTCTTCCCATTCACCCACTCCAGGCTGATCCCCATTTCCACAAAATATGTTTCAGTGCATGCTTGGGAGCAAAATCACACTGAGCAAAGAAATGCAGGACAGCCTCAGAAAGTCTAAACTTAGTAGTCTGAGGGTAGGCAATAGGATGAYGGAAACCAGTGAATTAAAAACATAATTTTGTTTTCCTTTATCACTAGGATATTCACAATTACACTCTCCCTGTATGGGCTACCAAAGATGTAATCAACAAGATGGAAAAACTGGCAGAATTGTCCTTATTGTCATTATTTGGGATTTATAAAAGAGAAGAAAAATCACGACTACAAGGAGGTAAATAGAAAAATGCATATCTCTAAGAAAGGAGGAGATAATGTTTATGACAAAATGCAACATCCTGTCACTTTACCAATGCAAAACCATTCATACAAAACCTTGTTTTTAAACTTATGTATATTGAATGCCGTATTATGCATTAAAATATGCACTGAACACTGGCACTTGCATCGATAAGATATTGCCACGAGGTGTAAAAATTTATGTCTTCAGTATTTCCAGATTTTTTTAAGGGATTGGGACTTTAACTATAAAAATCTAAGAGAAAAAAAAATAAGTCTGTCATGGATATTATCATTACCTGTCTGATAGTAGGTCAGATTAAGTTCTGTTTCTTCAACACTTACTATAATTGTTTCCTGTTCTTTGTTTTTCCCTTTGATGTACTGRTGATATATTGTGCCAAAACACTGGCAACTCATTGGCAGCTCTCTGAGTGATATAAAGCTTCTCCAAAACAGTCTGATCAATTATGTCTGTACAGAAAGAACTGGAACTACTGCTTAGCTCCAAAATTGGGGCTGTGCTGCACATTCTAACCTGCTTCAGGACACAACCCAGCAATTTATTGTAGGATCCTCAGGTGTCCATGAGCAGAAAATCCAAATAATTGACCTTGAATATTTGAAGGCTGGAATATTTGGGGCTAGGCTTTCTCATGCATCCTCTGTGCAGCCTAGATCTAGGTAAAGAATCATTAGCAGACTCATCGTCAAGGCATACACATCACTGGACCAAGACACATCAGACTTCAATCTGCATTAAAGCCCACTGGCTCGCAGATGACCATATCATGTAGTCAGGACTATTTATCTAATGTTCACTGGCACACCAGCTATGCCCTCTTCACTTAGAACAATTTGAATTGTGCATCAGGGTATTCCTGSTGCCCTTACCCATTGCCTTTAGAATATCTCCAGACTGGTGAAGTACAAAAGAGCTTACAAAAAAACATGAAGAATCGGTACTGGGTAACTTTTGGAAGTAAACAGTTAAAATATTTCTTCAGCATGTAGAGAGGAAGAGACTAGCTTGGTTGTCATTATTGCAACTACAAACAGACAAAAAAGAATGGACAGGAGAGCTCAGCATAACAGAACAGGAAGTGCCATTAGTTCCTGTTCTCAGGAKGGTTCTAGATGATTTCCTGTGAATCCTGCCTCTTCACTTGATGTGGATGATGAAKCATGTGTTTCACCTCTGTAACATCTTCTCTGTAGTTACAAAACTGTATTAGGCAAAAAAAATGAGTAGGAAGCCTGAGTAGATGTCCTATATTTGATACTCCTAATATTTTGGTTTTGTTTCCATTAATACTTTATAACTTCATTTTCCACTTCCATTTTCTYTTTTTTAAGGTGTCCTTGTGAATAYTATTTTAAATAGTATTAAACAAGCTGTGAATTCTTCAAATCCAAGAAAAATGGAGGTCTACTCTGCAGTGAGTATTTTCATCTTTTATAAATCATGCTTTGATATCACTGGTAAAAGACCCTTAAAGAGAATAATCAGACTCTCCAGTAAGTTAAATGAAAGCATAATACAATACAAGGTATCTAGCTGAACACCTTTAGGTACAAGAACACTGCATAAACATGGATGTCACCTCGGTTTTAGTTAAACTACATTTGGCAAATAAATGTATTTATTTTATCATTCATTATTCCTACAACTTAATGTTGTAGTTCTAATAGTTGCATCTTTCCTGGAGTTCTCCAGACATCCTGGCACAAAGCAGAACTTCAGATGCGCTTCCAAACCTTTCCTTTATGGGTTCTTTTTTATTACTATTACTATTAATTACTATTACTATTATTTATATTATTATTATTTTATTTATTTTTATTTTATTATTTTTATTTTATTGTTTTTATTTTATTTATTATTATTTTATTTATTTTAGGGCCACTTGGGTCAAAACAAGATCCACTCAGCTCATTCACTATTCTGTCTCTAACAAGGGCCAAARGCAGGGATCCATGTGAGAATAATACCAGCACAGAGTGATAAAACCTTCCAGCAATCTGAGTCTTAGGGACTTCACAGAGATAGAATTTATCTCTGAATTTAGTAGTTTTTGRCAGACTGTCTTCCATCAACTTAACTTATATCTTTAAAAATGCATTTATACTTTCGGACTCTGCAACATCCTGTGACAGTGACTTGTGTATTAAAGACAAAAAAATACTCTCTCTTCCATTCGCTTTTTCTGGGTCACTCTTGAATTTATTATTTTCTGTCACTCCTTCCATATTTCCTTYTCCAAGACAGAGTCCTACCCTATTTAATCTTTTCTCATATAAAAACKATTAACTACTTGATACCTCAAATCTTTCTCGCTATCCTTTCTACATGATTCTAGAACTACCATGCTATTTTTGAAAATTAAAAGGAAGCGCATCCAGATTATTTTTGAAACCAACCAGCCTAAAAAGTTCCAGAAGCTGAATAATAATTAAAACATAGCTGCTAGACTATAATAAAAACAGGTCTACCAGATATAGATATATAGATATAGATATATATATATATACACACGCGCACACATATATATATACATATATAATGGTGCTTGCAAAATTTATGCATCAAGGAATTTGGACTTCTTGCCTTCAGCTACTGTTCCTATGATCCCTGCAAGGGCGGGGATAACGGGTAGAGGAAGAAACTGCAGGTGGGTGGGTAACTTATYCCATAAAAATAGAAGCCAAACTGAGATTTTGCTGTATGAGTCCAAAAAGAAGGAACAATCTAAAAAAWTCTGAAGTGGAAGCAAGGAGAATAGTCTTTGCACACAACTATTTGTCTATATACTACCTGAAAATATATACTTTTATCTTCACTTGAAATGCCCTAGGATATACTACCTTAAACTGCCTTATTCTGACCTTGGAGCAAAAAACACTACTGAAGAAAGGAAAAGTGAAAATACACTGAAAAAGTAGATCTATCACTCTAACCACATCTTGCTTTTCCTCAACATCTCTGTCTCCAAAATACTGCCAGATGGTGTAAGACACATAGTGCAGTAACTCTTTGGAAACGCTTCCTGCTGTCTGTAGTAATCAGTTAACATTATTTTTCTCAATGGYGAATATACTGAACACATTTTCAGGGTCAATTTTACACAAGTTTTCTTTTATCTTGATTTCCACTCCCTCTCTACTCTTGCCTCATTACTCTGGATAAATGCCGGTTACTTAATCTATTGTAAAGGATGGTTTTGTTTTTTTTTCCCTCAATAGCATGACACCACAATTGGGGCCGTCCAGATTGCTCTCAATATTTTCAATGGAAAACTGCCACCATATGCTGCTTGCCAGTTTTTTGAACTCTACCAAGAAAGCAATGGGCAAGTATCTTCTTATCTATGCAAGAAAAAGGAGTGTTTAGAATTTGCTACCCCCTTCCCCAAAATAATTTTTCTCTCAAATATTGTGAGGAGATGCAATTTTGATTTAAATAGATACTTTACTGAGAAAGCCATAGGCACAAAGTCATATTAAAACTAGGGAAAGTTACATTTGCTGGATGTGTGTACGTGCTTTAAAAAACATGAAGAAGAGATAAACAAGTCTTAAGAGATGGAAGTAAATGGTAAAATACACGTTCTTGATTCTTCAAATGATAGCAAGAACATTTCCAAGACATCTCATAAATTCTGAGGCAAGTGAGTTGGCTTAGAAGAACTCAGTGATRGTGCCATTCAATGAGCCTTCAGAAAGATCTTTTCAGCTGACTGGTGATCTGTGCAGTAATATGACCAGCAAAGTGGGCTTTGGCAAATGTCTTTCACAAAGCCTTCATTCTTGGAGAACAGGATCTAGAATAGGATGTTAGAACCTATTTCCAACAAGCTGTCTCTGAGTAGGAAACCTTCTACTTAAGAACCTTGTTTTAAAAACTTTTCAATGTTGTTTATCAGGCAATATAGCATCGAAATGYACTATCGGAATGACACTTCAAAGGATCCTTATCTCCTCACTTTGCCAGGGTGCACCTCTTCTTGTCCACTTGAGAAGTTTGCTGAATTAGTTTCTCCTGTGATTACAGAAAATTGGGCAAAAGAATGTGGGAAGAAAGACAAAATGAAAGGTATGTAACAGTTCTGTATTTTCCACATAACAYATGGAAGCAGAAATTTTATCAATGGCTTCAAACTTTGTACCTTTCACACAATTGATAGATACCCCTTTAAGTATGGGCAAGATTTACTATGGACAAGGAATGWCAACAGAAATTAAATTTCTCTGAAAATGTGAAGAGTCGACTTGCCCACCAGTGTGAAGGCAGTGTTGTTACTAGCATATTCACAAAAGAAGTTGCTTAAGGGCCATGGACAACACTAGGTCTCCACTTGCTGAAAATGTTTAAGTATGGATGTGGGTCCTATTCAAGGGTCCTGTGTTTGCTGGATACATCAGACCTTCTGTAGATGCAAAGCAAAAATGGCTTGCAAATGCGTGATAAGATTCGTGCATCTGTATTTCTGCCACATGCACRATGTGCTGAGGACATCACTGCACTCAGGTTCTACCGCGTGCAGCTGATCCATGATATACCAAGAGCTGGGAGCTGCTAACCTCTTTCTGACTGAATATTATTTCTGGGAGGGAGGAGAAGGGCAAGGAAATCCATGTTACTTTTCAACAGTCCCAGTATTTCTCCTGTCCTGAATATATTCACCATTTTGCTGGTCCCTGATGAAACTACTTTTTCTTTTTGCATTAACTACACATAGTGCCTCCTGCCCTGTGGAAACCTGGGAATGAGATTTACCTATGCACAGGAAGCAATCTATAAATTTCTAGGATTGAAGTATATGTTYTTATGTTGCATATGTCAGTAAATGGGATCTTGCCAGAAATATGTATATTATATTATGTAGGCAATATGCCAGAAATGGTATATATGCATATTTTTCATTAACTCCCTTTTCCTTTACTGTTTGTTCTTCACAGATATTTTTATCGGATTTAATGTTGCCGTTGTCTTGTTGTCCATTTTTAACCTTGCACTGCTCTACCTCCTTTATCATTATGGACACTGCAGACGCAGAAACAATTACCAAGACATTTAAATGGGAGGTAAAGAAACAAAAGGGAGAGCAGCTATACATCAGGARATACTTGAAGTTGCTGATATCCATCAGTTTGCTCTGGTCAAATTAATCTCCAAAGCATATCCAATAAACCTGAACAGCTGAGGTATCTGTGGCCTAGTCCTAAAATTCTAAACATCTGCAGTGAGAAATACTGTAGAAATGCTTCATTTTAGAATTTACTGGATGGATGGAATTACTCCAATTTATATCTTTAGGTATTCTTCTACTACTATTAATCAATCCTACATCATCCAGTGGGGTGAAGGGATGCTATTGCCTATTTTTATATTGCCTATTACCATTTAGCCCTCTGCTGCTCAACAAGTATTTCTTAAAAATCACAGTCTGTAATACTTCCCTTACTTCTTATAAATGTTTTTTTTGTCCCTTCTGTTTCTTTGAGCCACTCTTAGAATAATTCTTCAAGCTATCACTCTCCAATTATCTTTAATTTTAATTTACAGTAACTCCTTTAACTCCTTGCTCTGTTCAAAATCCCGTGTGTTAGCAAGACATACATTGAAAGTAAGRAAACAATTATTCTGCTTTTTGTGTATTGATCTTTTCTGTGCAATATGTTTTGTTTACATTGGAAGCTACTCATGTCTGTGAATGTGTTTCTGTAACTGCTCTCAAGTGTCATAAACTAGTATAATAAGCACTAATATTGCTGTATAAAATCCTGCTTATCGCCATGTGTTTCAAGGGCTGAATCACGACTTTTTTATCCTGCAGTCCTGCAGAGAATACTGTGAATTACACTATCATGGAGAAGCCTCTTTAAAAATCAAGAAAACTATACAAACAGATGCCACCAGCAAGTTTAACCCAACAGAAATAATGAGTTCAAGCTAATGTGCTCCAGCTAATGTTCCTGTTGAGATTCAGAAGTCTAGAGAAAGCTGAGAGATGGAGCTGCTTAATTCAGCCACAGCATCACAGCAATGTGAAAACATTACTTCTGGACTGACTTCCACTCACATTCTGTGGGTTGCAATGTCGAGCCCAGGAGCCCTGGTCACTGATGTAGAGCTCAGCCCTCAATACTACAGCTGAAATAGTCATATGTAGTGATATAGTTATATGTAGTGATATAAACAACATAAATGAGAGTAATAAATGCTTCTGGGATTATAGTACTTCCCAAACATTGCATTCTCTTGTAGTAACTTCAGCTACTAAAGTGTACACCCCTTGAAAAATCATTTCTCACTTGTAAAGCTTTTAGCAGTATCCATGACATTTCCATTTTATCTGTTTTAGGAAATCTCATAAACAACTGATGGATTTGATTCTTACATGTTCAAGATTTTTATTTTAAACAAGTAGGGGCAAAGCTGTCAAAAAGATGAAAGGCTGTCCCTAAATCAGATGGTTTAAATGTACAAGCTTCAGCCTGTAACTAGTAGTTTTGATCCTCATGCAAAAACTTACAGGAATGTCTATATTGCAACCAAAAGTATGAGAGCAGCTCCAGGGAAAAAAGCCTGAGCTGGCTTGGTTACTATTGCCAGTGCACTCACAGTGGGGAAAAGTTCAGAACTGCAAAACTCATCCTGCTCCTGAATAAATATATTCAGTGGTTACCTGATACTGAGTTCTGTATTACCATGGCCACAATGCTGCAAATACCTRCTTAAGGATGGATTACGTCTTTTATTGGAGGGAGTCAGATGCTTGACAAGCAAAGATGTATCATTGACTGATAATGTGCAGTAAAAACCAGTACTGAGATATTAAAAAATCAGTCAATTGCACTCCACAAGAGGCAGAATGGGACACTTTTTTTTTTTTTTTCTGACACTGCCTGTTAGAGAAAGAAGTAGATTCAGACAGAAACTAAAATGTGAAGTGTCTGAGACATTTTCTCTGGTTTATGCTGCTCAAGCCTAAGCTGTAAAAAGAAATTTCAGAAAATGAGGCAATTCTTATTGGAGCAAGAGCTGTCAGGAAGGGCTTTGATTGTAGGGACACCTTTTTGTTAACAAATARTCATACTTGAAAATGCGTATGCACTTTTAGAAAGGATCCAGTGAACACAAGTTACACAAGGTTCAGATGATGTAACTTCAGAATCAATGAGGGTACATTAAAGATGTAATACATGAGTAAAGTAGGCCCTGAATCTCACTTATAGGAAAGATGTTTTGTCTTGCTGTGACTAAATCAAGTAAAATTTGTCCAGTGGAGTAAAAGGTTGTACATGTAGACAAGTTTGTGGMTTTTTTCATTTTTTCAGTCATATTTACAATTTGCTTCATATAATCTGCAGACTGTGATTAAAAAATATCTTGTCACCAAGCAACTTGTGGCACTGCAATAAAGTACTTTAAAGGAACAATTCAACCTTTGTAATTGTATATTACTGAAAAACAATGGAGCTTTCAGTATGTCTAGAGTTTCCAAACAAAACAAAATGTTCAAGTTTGTTGCTTCAGTAAGAACAAATTTTTTAAAGCACTTGTGCTCTGACACAAATAAAGTTGATGACATGAAGCTCCTCAATTTGCCCTCTAGCAGTGACATCATCTGTCTCTACAATAATTACAGTAGCAACTTGACACTGTGGCAGGGTTTTCTGGTACCTATGGTAGACAGCAGTGCATATGCAGCACTTTTCAGTTCAATCAGCAACTACATCCTCTTACTGAATTGATTTTATTCTGAAACTTCTTTATTCAGAGGCCTGAATATTGCACACTMTGGGTAAGCAAAGCATAACCATCTGACTTCCAGATAATACCAGCAGTATCAGATCAGTCAGGAGCACTCATGTTCATTTGTACCTGTAATGTAAGGATATTGGATCCAAATGATAGTATTTCTTCTCACTGAGGTAAGATACAGAAAGCAGAATGACAGATGCACTCTATTTGGG